GTTTCTCTTTCTTTCATTCATTCATTCCCCGAATCACACAGTCAATCAGTGTCCTTCGTCCTTCACCTTTTACGGGTTCATTCCTAAATTTGAAGGATTATTATTGTAAGACTTGCCTCTCAGATTTCCAGAAAGAGCAGGTTCAACTGTCCGTCAAACCACCGGGTCACCTGAGCGACGTCCTACACAAACGGGCCACAGACGACCTTCCGCAGGTTTGATATCACTGCTCCACTATTTATGTATAAATAGCAAGTCATGTGACTTCACATGCACCACCCCTAAAGCAGATCAACGCCCTGACTACCTGCGAATTAAAGGCTGGATTAGCTTGTTTAGCAGAAACAGCCAATGGTACTTTGATGCAAAAGCTCATCCACGGTTTGGTACCACTCGCTTCCTATGTAGCTCCAAAATAGGTAAAAAAAATTGTGCACAGATAATTGTGGAATATCTGATTTTTTTTTATGGCATTTTATTTTCTTGACGCAGAGTCCCAGAGAAAGGTGTAAATCCTAATAGGTGGCGACTATATCTATTTACTTTCTTGTTTTTTCCAAATATATATATTATTTACATAAAACAATTAATTTCATTCCTGATATTGTTTGTGTTGTTGTTTGGTGGTGATGTTGTTGCAGTAGTTGTTACTACGGTAATTTTATTTATCATAAAAGAATTTTATAAATATATTTTATTGACATCATGGAGACATTTTCTTCAGTGACAGGAACAAGGTTATTAGGACATTGAGGGGGAAATACACAAAGACATAAGATGAGGAAAAGACAAATACATTAAAAAAAAACAAGATGATAGAGGAACCTGAGGAGGAACGTTACTACGGATAACATACAATGCAGTTTACTGTCAACTGATTATTGCAACATGTGGGAAACGCAAACCAGCGGAAACGCAGGGAAACGTTTTGGTTGGCCATCTTTTTATTTAACCCACATGGACTTTGTAAACATCATGTAGCACGTGTGTTGTATCAGGAAAGCTAACCGACTCCGATAGCACATTAGCCACAACTCACTACCGCCACTCGTCTGGTATGTAACAGTCACACAGTTTGTGCCAAAAAAGTTAAGCCAGCTCTTCTAGTTGAAGAGGGAAATTAAGCTAAGAGCTAGCATGTAGCTAACGACTGCTAAAGTGACGACACTAGCTTCACCCTCTCTGCGTGTTTCTGTTAGAAGGAGTAACCTCACCTTCTGCGTTTCTAGCAATATTAAAGTTGTATTTAACGTTATGTTTTATGTCAGCGAGGCTACCGGTGGACGACAATGTCTCTGAGGCTGCTGTCATCGGATCCATCGGACCGGGGCTCCCAGAGATGCAGGCTGGGTCCCGGCTTGATGTCCGCGCTGGGTCTCGCACCGGGGTCCCCGCTGCTGGTGTCCGTTCCCGGGGGAAGCTGCTTGTGCACCGCCTGGCCGCGGGCCGACCTGGCGGAGGGCTTCCTGCAGATGGATCTGAAGTGTTGCTCTCCCGGTCTGCTCGCTCATCCGCCCGCTCACCTCCACTTGGACCCGGACCGGCTCGCGAGCGCGCCCTGTCCCAAACTGAGAGGCGCGAGGGTAACCGTGGTGGTCCAGAGTGCTGAGTTCAAGAGGCTCGCGCCTCCTCGCCTCGTGCACGAGCTGGCGAAGGACATGCTGAAAGGTGTGCGTGTCCGCGAGAAGCACGTGATAAACCTGGAGGACTTCGACACGGAGATCAGGTGCGTTGTTATTGAAAGCATCGATCCGGATTCTACCAGTTCTGGATTAATCACCTCGAAAACCGGCGTGGAGGTAGTCGGTATCCAAACGCTGCGACATCACAGGAGCCAGCTGCAGGACCAGCAAATAGCCCCCCTGGGGGGACTGGAGGAGGTGACGTCATGATATTAAGAGTTATTCATCCAGAGAGTGTATTGCTACAAAGCGACACGTGTATTTAGTTTGATTTTAAACTGTGTTTTAGGTGTGCGCCTCGCTGAGAGAGATGCTGCGGCTGCCCCTGCTCTATCCAGACACCCTGAGCTCTCTCGGGGTGTCGTGTCCCAGAGGTGTGCTCCTAGTGGGGCCTCCGGGTGTGGGCAAGACCCTGCTGGTCCGCACGGTGGTGAGGGAGGTGGGGGCCAGACTGGTGGTGGTCAGAGGGCCGGAGGTATTCATTGCATTTTTCACACTTCAATATTTGGTTCAGCATTTTTAATCGCAGTATGCGTGATGACATGTTGCCAAAATCCACATGCATTGGGAAATTGTGTGTACACTGAAATGAGAGGTTGTTGGTATAATAGATAATCCAGCAGTATTCAGTATTCTCATCATTAACAGTAATTGTGAACGAAACTGTGTTTTCGAGGTGGTGGGCTCGCGGCCGGGGGAGAGCGAGGAGAAGCTGCGGGCCGTGTTCGAGCGCGCCCGCTCGGCGGCCGAAGAGGGCCCCTGCGTGCTGTTCCTGGACGAGCTGGACTCGCTGTGCCCGAGGAGACGCGGCTCCTCGGCGCCGGAGAACCGCCTGGTGGCTCAGCTGCTCACGCTGATGGACGGGATGAGGCGGTCGGACCGCTTCCTCGTCGTCGGAGCCACCAACAGACCGGACGCCTTGGACGCGGCGCTGCGCAGGCCCGGGAGATTCGACAGGGAGGTGATGGAACACACAACCCGTGACATGATGATGAACGGAACGGATCTTTGACCATCTGGATCCCCCCCCCCCCCGGCCCCCCTTCCATCCTTCAGGTTGTCATTGGCGCCCCCACCGCGCAGCAGAGGAACGCCATCCTGTCGTCTCTGTGTGCGAGGATGCCCGTGTGTCCCGGGGTGGACGTGGCGGAGCTCGCGCAGAGGACCACGGGCTACGTCGGGGCGGACCTCAGCGCGCTGTGCAGGGAGGCCGCCATGAACGCTATACGAGGCAGCTCGAAGGTAAACGCAGCGACGATGCCACACTGAGCGTTTGACCCGTGGAACCGTCAGTAGGGATGTATGCGGGTCGGAGACACAGCGTCTTGAGTTACTCGTGATCATGTTGGTGCTCATCTTTACAGCTAGAAAGGAACTATTGTGGTTATTTGCTTGAGTTTTGCCCTTGTTAAAACAGCTGTTTGAGAATATGTCACATTTGCACCAGGACTCAAAATGAAATGAAATGAGCTGTGATATTAAGTGGATCCTGGTCAAATAAAGCAAATAGCGGTACAATGTAAGGCCGTGGGCGAGATACGTCTATGCTTTTGTTGTTTTGTTTGTCTTGGGTTGCCTTGTTATTGTTTGTTGTTGTTGTTACAGGGTTCAGGAGAGCAGGCGATTGGTACCAAGCACTTCCATGAGGCCCTGAAGGCGGTGCGTCCCTCCTGCCTGCGGAGCAGCCTCGGCAGGACGGAGGTCACCCCGACCTTGTGGGCGCAGATCGGAGGCCTGGATGACGTCAAGCTCAAACTCCGACAGGTACGTGAACACAAAGCGCCTGAGCGCGTTCACGCGCAAAGAGAAAGGCAAGAAAATACAGACATTTTCCCCTCTTGTGTGTGAACATCGAAGAGCATCGAGTGGCCGATGTTGTACCCCGAGGCCTTTGTGCGCCTGGGTCTGTGTCGGCCCCGCGGCGTGCTGCTCTACGGACCCCCGGGGTGCGCCAAGACGACGCTGGTCAAGGCCGCGGCCGGCTCGTCTCACTGCGCCTTCCTGTCCGTCGGCGGCGCCGACCTCTACTCCCCTTATGTCGGCGACTCTGAGAAGGCTTTGGCTCAGGTACTTTTTTTTTCTCCTCGCGTCCTTCCCACGCTGCGGCCGTGTCCTCCAGCTGCATCCACAAAACACCTGCACCCGTCTTTTCCCCCGTGCAGCTGTTTCGCCAGGCCCGGGCCTGCGCCCCCTGCATCCTGTTCCTCGACGAGATCGACTCCCTGATCGGCTCGCGGTCCGACAGTCAGACGCCAAGCGGCGTGCAGACGCGCCTCCTGTCGGTGCTGCTGAATGAGATGGACGGAGTCGGCCTGAAGACGCTGGAGAGGAGGGGGACCGATAAGATCCTCCTGGCGGAGGGAGCGGAGGAGAATCGCACACAGGAAAAGGTCAGATGTCACAGAGGCTGTCTCCTCCTCCTCTTCCTCCTCCGCCTCCCGCTGCTTACCGCCTGATCAGTACGAGGCGACGCCATAAAATGCCTGTGCTCTTTGACAGTTGGACTGCCAGGAGGTGTGCAACAAAGACGTGATGGTTGTAGCCGCCACAAACCGACCGGACTGCTTAGACAGCGCCCTGCTCAGACCTGGCAGGCTGGACCACATCATCTATGTCCCGCCCCCTGACCAGCAGGTTTAAAAAAAATTTTTTTTTAAAAAAGCATACAGAAATCTTGTGAGAAGTGATTTAAAAGATGACACCCATGTCACCCATTTGAAGAACTAATCTGTATTTGTGTGTCTAGGTTCGTCTCTGCATCCTGAAGATGTGCACAAAGTCGATGCCCGTGGATGCCGACGTGTGTCTGGAGGAGCTGGCCAGAAAGACCGAGTATTACTCTGGGGCCGACCTGGAAAATCTCTGCAAAGAGGTAACGCGTGGACCATAACGTACTGCGGGTGCAAAGTATTCACAAACGCCACAAAGTGAGGAGGAAAACGTTGTTTTTGTTTCCCCAGGCCGCTCTGTTGGCGCTACAAGAGGAAAACATGGAGGCTTCAGTCATCAAGCACGCATACTTCCTTCGGTCCCTCGACAACATGAGCCCCTCTCTCACTGCCCAGCAGATCCAATCGTATCATAAAGGTCCCAGATGACCCCCCCCCCTCCCCACCACCACGACCACGTTCACTGCAGTCATCAAATTGATTATTACATATTTTCAATAAAATAAGTAAAAGTTAACTTTTGGTGTTTTTTATTTATTGTCCTCCACCACTTACCAGCCAGACCTTCAGTTTGTTCATGTGGGCACAAGAGGGTGCTGCACACCCTCACGACGTATTGATAAAGCACATTCACATAGGTTGACGATTTAGACTTTCAGAGCAGGAAGCTGTGTGTGTGTCTACGTGCCGTTCACCACGTAACCACGTCTCCTCTCCGGCACGACATCAGCCGGGACGTCACAAGACGTCCACGACTCCTCGGTGAGACAACAACAACGACAGGTGAGCGCTCTCCTACTTAATGACTTTAATTCAGTGAACGGACAAATTCCTTCATTGAATTCTGATGCATTTTCTCTTTTAGGTATTTGAGGAAATTTAGAGAAAATGGTTGGATTCTTCCAAATGTTGAGAAAGAAAAAGGAGGTGAACATTTTTAATATGTTAACATTTGTACTGTGGATATTGGATTTATAGCTCAAGTAAGCTCTTATACGCATTTTTATGTAATGATGCACATTTACAAACCATTTTCTCTCTGTGTACTTCAGCTGATCCCTCTGATAGGATTCATGGGGTTGGCTGCAACAGGAGCCACATCTGCTGCTCTCTACTTTCTATTTACTAAACCTGATGTTATGTGAGTGTTACTGCACTTTTTCTATTCCTCATTTACCTCGTCTTGAAATGCACGTCACTCTTTCCTGTTTTCATACTTTAATCTGACTTCCACCAGCCTCTGCTATGAAAAGAAAGGCTTGATTTTGATCAAACATTTTCATTCACTTTTAGTTTGAATAGGAGCAACAACCCAGAACCGTGGGAAAGACTGGACCCGTCAAAACCCCAAAAGGTAATCTGTCCTATTCCAGACGATGTGAAACATTTTCTAATATTTGTCAAGAAGCCCTTTTTTGTTGGTACCAAAAACGGCATCAGAGACAGAGCGCAGCTAGAATCTGCTGAGTCACTGAGGGAGGAACGTTATCAACTTAGAACCAGCCTTCCATCGACTCGCTCCAGTCACATGTCACTTAATTTATGTGGGGGCGAAGCGTAATTTAGTATTCTTGGCATTCTGCTGCAGCTCCTCACCATCAACCAGCAGTGGAAACCAGTGGACGAGCTGGAATATGTGAAGAGTCTCACCAAGTAAAAGAAGGCGTGAGCCTTCCGGGAAAGATCCACAGTCTGACCGTCGCCTCCGCCCCACCCCCTCCCCCCGGATCCCATCCGACCCCCCACCTCCCTTCCAGCTCCCCCACACACACAAACTCCCCATCAGTGCAACAGAATCCTTTCTGCACACACTTTGCGTTGACACTCGGTGTGCGGAAATGCTTCTGCTCCACTGGTGGGGTTTTTCACCCTGCACGATGACGTCATCCACAACGGCAGAAAACCACACCGAAGGTTAATAAATGCGACTGCAGAGGGCTCCATTTATTGTGAATGTACAACAGTGTCTGAATGTGCAAGACGCAATGTAAACTCAGTTGGTTAATAATGTTCTCATAACCGGTTCAATAAATTATTCTTGTCAACAACTTGCGCTTCCAGAGTGTTCCTTTTTTATTAATCAAATTTAAGAGACTATGTGTATTTATGCATTTTCATTCTGTTAGGTTGATATTCTTATATTTAGAGCTAATAGTTTTATCTCCTATCTGCATCCCAAAAAAGTGTGTTTGACCTCTGAATGCACCCCTCAAAGTCAAATGTGGCTAGAAGATGTACTGCATCCCCTCTTTTCATTTAAAAATACGTCACAAAACCTAGAACTGCCGTAAGGTTAGTGACTATCCACATTTCTCTGTATGTCAACAAAGCTTCAGCATTAACGGCTTATAACTAAATCTGCCGGTTGGCTCTTTAAAAGCTCTCTAATTAATATGTCAAAATAATCCCTCCTCAAGGTCCCACGTGGTTTTCATCAGCAGATAAATCGTCTTAATTCTGCAAATGAGCAACAGCTTCTAAATACACCTCGGTGGTAAAAAAAAAATACAGAATTCTTTGTTTATTCATCAACAAGCTCAATATTCACTTTACTACATCAAGTGAAGCCTTTTCTTTCTATGAGCTCCACATTTTATTTAAAGTTTCATGGACAGTCAGTATTTGTTCAAATGTTGTTTGCAGACGAGCGAACCGTGAATCGTTTCCAGCCAACGGCATTAAAGTGATTACAGCCATAAAGAAAACGTACTCATCTGCTTGGTTTACGGCTGCGTGGGACCATTGTGTTTTATGATGGGACACAAGCCTCGACACATCCATCGCGTGTCCCACACGAGGAAAACATCAGAACGCGGGCGGTATGCGACTACACCGCCGGCCCCCCACAGCACTCATGAATTATTAAACCCTAAAAAAAGGCCGTGAACAGGGCGAGCGACAAGCAGCCGCGTTGTTTCCGCGTCTATTTTTCTTTCACTTTCCTTCCTCCTTCATGCAACATGTTCTCCATTCTGATTTTAAGCGCTGCACAGATGTTTTCCAGTGACATTTCATACCTTCACAGGATGAAAACAGAAGAGGAAAAGGTCTCGTTTAGAGAAAAAGAGCAAGAGAGGGAGGGTGTCTATCGACATTTATGCTTTTAAAGGATCCGCAAAACAATGAGAGGGGAGGAAGGATGTGGCTGGAGTTGGTGTACGTGACTCGGTCACAGACTTCCTGACACCACGAACCACGTGAGCAGCCGCTCAAGCAGGTAGTAAAAGAAGGAGGCGTGAGGTCTGGTGGTTCCCTTTCAGGAAACGACCCTTCTTGACCTGCATGTTGAGGAAACACACAGTTCTGTTCGGTCTGTTCACCAGACTCGCATGTCCCTACTGGATGATGAATTAATGGAATCCGACCGTGAATTAGGCTGTAAGTCTACGTTTCAAACGGATCATATTTATTATCAAAACCCAGGAGCCAGCAACCAAAAATAAACTAAAAAAAACATTTATATCAAAAGACAGAATAGACACGAATGTGCAAACGCCATCAATAACGTGTTTGGTGATTTTGATGTTGAGATACAGAGTAAATCGCCTCTCTGAAACACCAGCGCTCGTTTGTTTTGCTGCTTCGGACGCCAGCGGGTGAAGAGGCCTCCTGGCGGCGGCTCACGGGGAGCTGAGGTAAGGCGGGGCAGTCAGGTGCGTGCCGTTAACCATTAGCTCCGCAGCACTACAAACACTGGTTGCCTGGAAACGGAGACACTCCCAGTCGTCCCGTGTTGTCAACGGCAACAATGAATGGGCGAGAGGACGCTTTCGCTCAGAAGGGGATTAATCTGTGCAGTATGAATGTCCCAATTTCTTAACATGGCGCCGGTCGTTTAACAAGAATACAAAGAGATAGACAGAGGATTAAATACTTTATTATAAACAAAAACAGGGGTACAGTTTGGGAATTCCTTTGATTAATATCCAATATGGAGAGGTCTACCAAAAAAACCCTCCTCTGACAACTATTTAACACAAAATTAACACCTTTATTGGCAAATTTCAACTCCTTCCCGGAAAACTCTGAACCCCCCCCCGAACGTTTCCCCAAGCGGTTTGCATTATCATACTGTCAGTTAAATGAATGAAACGAAGCAGAGCACTGATGTGAGGCTGAAATTATACCGACGTCGGTCCCAATACTGCAGCATTTTTACACATTTTCAAAGTCAGCCACACGTTGATTGTCAGTTCCGCCCCATTGAATTAAGAGACATGCTAAGAGTAAAACGTTAAAAGTGTCTTAACTAATCGGTCTGTTCAAACTGAAATTGTTTTTGTATTTAAAACTAATGTCTCGATCGAGTATAATCGATAATACTCCAAATAATAATACTCCAAATAGACTTTGGCTGAAGAGTATGAATTATGACGTGCATTTGATGAGATGTTACGCTGACTGAAAGGCTCAATGCATTGTGACCATGCATGTTAATACCAAATGGTAAAAGCTGCTTCTGCCTTTTCAGACCTCCGCAGTAAAATAATAAAATTCAGTCCGCACGACCTTGTAACAAAAAGTAAAATTTACACCCGATGCCAAAACATCAGTTGTAGCAAATCAAACGGTAAAAATACAGAAACAGAGTAGGCTTTGATGGTGAATTAAACAGAATTAAACATTTTCTCATTCTTCTCGGCTGAGGTTCAAGCATTCGATCTCCACTGGTGAAAGCTTTTGGCGAGTGCATAACGTCTCTGGAGGTTTGTAGCGATCCTTTAATTAGAAATGTGCATCTCAGGTTACACCCGACTCTCCTTTTGGCACCAGTCTTTTCTTTTTCTTTGCATTTAAACACGGCGCACACCGTTGTGTGTGTGTGCGCGCGTCACCGGGGGGCCTCCGCGAGCTCTCCTCTCTGGCCGTCGGGTGCCACGAAGCGACCGGTGGAACGCCGGCGGAGAGTCCGTCTCGTCACGCGCTGGACAGCTGGCAGTGCGCGCAGCTGTGCACGAGCCTCAGCCTGTGCGTCTGCACCTGCACCGTGCACCTGGTGAGACCGTATGTGTGCAGCAGCAGGTGGCGGGCCTTCGCCTGCACGTCCTCCCAGCTGCTGCTGCTAGAGGGAGCTGTGAACACACAAGTTCACACTTGTGAAAACAAAGTTTTCACAATTTTTCAAGAAAGCGCTGAGTGATGGCAAGGGCCTTTCTGACAGCTGACCAATCAGGGCGAGGAGAGTCGGTACGTAACCTACTGCCATAGTTACCGGTGCCTCCAAAATATACCACGGTGGAGAAGGTACCAGTAGAACAACTCCTGATTGCCGTTCACAAGCATCCTCCAGTCATTGCATTTTATTGGCCATTGTAAGTAGCTAACAATAAGCACTTGATAACCAAGAGATAAGATAAGTAAGGCTCACAAAAATAAGTCACGTGTGAACACGCCTTAACAGTTTTACAGCATGCCTTGACAAGCCTTTTACCCAGCAGACCTTTCGGCCTCGTCATTGCAAGAAAAACAAGGGGCAACTCAAAGGAATGATGCCTATGTACCAGTTAGGTGAGCTACTTTAAGGGCGCTGATGCTGGAATACTGGACACATTGATAGAACTGAACCTTTGTTAATGTCATTCATGTTCATTGTTTTAGTATGTATATCTATATTATAGATATTCAGTGTTTCCCCTCCCATTATAACAGGGTCAATCTCGTTTTTTAATTTCTTTGTGAAAAATTGCTTTTTTCAGTTGACTAGATAGTGCTGAGTGTCTTTGGTCCTTAGTCAGCAGGATTACTCATAACAAAGACAAGGACAGTTATTCTGCTTTGAAATATATTTCACTGATCTATGCTAATTAAGTGGCGTTCTTTGTATTAAACTTTATATTTTGGCAACACCTTCCACCTACTCCCACAAGTGAAGTCACAATTAGATCTGTAGATTAGATCATGTACAGCCAGTCAGCTGACTTGTCTGAACCCGCTGCTGCTCCTCTTACTTTGGTTTACTGCAAAGATGGGGGGGGACGAGTTTGGGCTGCCGATCCGTTTTGAATTAAAAAAAACAGCTCCCTCTGGTGAGGAGTCTGGAGCCTGGCAAAACCAGTGTGAGCAAAATGTAAACCAAGGGGGCCAAACGTAAGGCCCGGGGGCCAGAGCCGGCCCGCCAGAGGGTTGGATTATTGGATTTCTTTGTTATTTTGGAATGATTTGACACCCCTATAAAATACCACATTGTTTCAATGCTAAGAATTACGTTCCATCCCTCCGTTAGAAAGCCTTCATACAAAACATATTATTAATAACATCGTAATCCACTGCTGCCACTCAAGTTTATTGAGAAAAGAAAAGTCGAAGCGGTGCTCTGATGGAAAAAACGGAGCCTTGCTGCCACGTGCTACATGTGGCAGAAACAAGTCTCAGCACGTCGTCCATCCAACACGATCGACTGCAGGAGCCCGACGGAGGCAGCGTGGCCCAAACAAACAAACCAAGCTCGCTGTGGAGGGACGAAGACAAACGCTGCGGCTCTGACGAGTCGCTGACATTCAACGCGCTGCCAGAATAAAGACTTGGAAACTGGTTTGAATCAGAGTGGTCGAGCCAGAACACTGACAAGCGCTGACACGGATTCCTCGGAGACTTGTGTGGAACGACTTGAAGGTAAACGCTGCTGGACGAAACGCTTCACCTAACGTGACTCAGTCGGAGAAACTCAACAGACACTTCAAAACGCTCCAAGGTGTCATCGCTGCGGTGTTTCAAAGTCAATTGTAACGGCCAAGAGTTTACTCATAAAAGACAAACGTTTTCTAGTTTTTTCTCGTTCCAAGTTCAGAACATTGAGGCGTTGCTACTTTTCTTTGCCTTATATCATAACTACGTAAATATCTTTCTGTTCTGGACTGCTGTTATTGACAAAAATAACCAACTTGATGACGGTATTTTGGGCTTTGCTAACTCGTGATGTACATTTTTCATAGTACACACACACACACACACACACACGGCCCTTTACAACTATTGAAACCTTAATAGGATTGAAAAACCCACAAGAAATTAGTCGTAAACTACAATAGTACATTTAAAACACGCATTTATTGCCATGTATTTAGTGTGAAAACACTCAACTCTACATTTGTAGTACTGGAACAGCACTGTGAACAGATTGTTACTGCGTTACTCACCGAGCTGCAGGTGCACTATTGCTGCAGTCTTGTCTGCTGTCAGCGCCCAGATGTTCAGCTCATCGACTGATTGCACGTCCTCCAGCTTCAGGAGGTCCTCCTTGATTCTCAGAGTGTCCAGATGTCTAGGAACACCTTTTAAAGCGGTATAAGAATTAAAAAAAAAACCTCTGATCTCAAATCAAATCTGACAGGAATCTGGGAGCGAAGACTTACCCTCCAGCACGATGACCGCCGTGTCTCGCATGATGCGGAATGTGGTGAAGAGAACCAGAATGGAGAAGATGTAGGTACAGATGGGGTCCGCCAACTTCAACTCGGGCTGTGAAGTCAGAAGTTACATCAGATCATAGAGAATAGGTTGTTTTTGTCAGGCATAATTAGATAAATGACTATAAATGATGAATGCATTCGTCATGCACACTACGGCGTGCTCAGTCATCTCGGGAGTTCATTTCAAGAAATGTTCATTCCAAATGTAGTAGTCTCATTCCTCCACTTGTCAGCAGAGAGTAGGGGATTCATTATTGTATTTTAAGAAAAAAAACTTTAATATCTCATTAAAATGTGTTTTCTGCAGACCCTATTTCAGGCCCCCCATTAAAAAAAGAAAGCATTAACGTTAAGACAACAAAGTGTCAAAGTGCTGACTCATTTGCAATCTAAACAGCCAACAATTAAACAAAATAAGCTAACCCAAAATCTAAATCATCGGTAACAGTAGGTAATATTAATAAAACTTGAGTGCAAATTGCTCTTTAATGTGCGATGCAGCTGCAAACAATCCTCCCTGTGTCCATACAAAGGAAATCTAGCTAGTTTACTAAAGACAGAAATGGGCTTTAATTGTTGACGGTCGCGTGTACCTTGAAGCGGACAATGTAGGCGGCTATGAGCACCCCGACACTCTGGACCAGGTCTCCCAAAGCGTGGATGAAGGCAGCTCTCACAGCCAGGCTGCCCTGGTGCTGGCCGGACCCGGCTGACTGCGAACTCGAGGCGGCTGCAGAGCCGTGAGAGTGACCGTGTGCGTGTGCGTGGCCGTGGCCGTGTGAGTGCAGGTGACCATTTTGGTTCAGCAAGAAACCCATTCTGTGAGAGACAGGAAAGACGAGAAAGAGGTTGTGGCTTTCTGAGAAGCATCGACTTACCGCTATTAAGTACATTTCAGGCCGCACTTTGGACTGAACCGTTACACTCACAGCGACGCAGTCGGAAGAGTCACCTAGCTGCACTCTGGTTACTTTGAAAAGCTCCCCAGTCGGTAAACACATTGCTTCCATAGGGTTTGCACGCCTGTTTACTCACATGAGGTTAACTGCCACCCCGACAGCTGCGGTGATGAGCATGATGTCACCATCTATGTCAAACTCCTGGTGCACCGTCCTCTGAATCGCCTCGTAGAGCAGCACAGCCGTCAGGACGTAGATGAGCACCACACTGAGGACCGCCGATACCACCTCTATGTCAGGAGACCCAAATGTAGACAGAAACAACATTCAGCTCAACACAGAACAGAACAACTGGTTTCAACGGGACGACCAGGAGAATGTGCCGGATAGAATAGACAACAGAAATCGGTATTTAAAATATGTGCAGTTTATTGCTATAAATGATCTATGAAATCATCATTTCATACTTGTGTGATTGTAGAATACAATGATAAAAAAAAAGATATGATAAAGAAGAATAATGTTGAAACGATGACTTTTTCTGACTGACTTTTTAATTAATAAAATGAATTAATAAATAAATCCATCAAGAAATGTTACCTTTTTCTACATTGAAATGGATTTAATTGCACCGTATCTCAATGACTGAGTGATTGCAGCCATTTGGCAGCAATCTAGTGTTCAGTAAGAAATCAGGGCACGTCATGAATTAGCAGAGACTTAAAATCTGCATCCCTATTCAAAAATCTAGAGTATCCGATCAGCAATGTGATCAGGCTTCAACACTGCTGAACAGTCACTCTCTTTGTTGCACATGATTAATCTGCATCAAAACCACCGGTACCACGTTGTCGAAAGCAAAAGCGAGAGCGAGAGAAAAATTAGATGCAGAAAAGGGAAATGGAAAAGCTTGTGGGCTCGAGAGACTTACCGAGGCGATGCAGGCCGAAGGTGAAGCGGCTCGTGGGGGGCTTGGTGGAGAGCCAGAGGGCCAGCAGAGAAAACAAAATCCCCACCACGTCCGTCAGCATGTGCACCGCGTCCGTCATAATGGCCAAGCTGTTCGACAAGTAGCCGCCTGAAAGCAAGGCAAAGATGGTTGAGATTTCATCTGCTGAGATCTACCCGAGCTGTTTGTCAGATTGGTATGTTGAAAACACAGGTTTCACTTTACATTTCTTTTTTTTTTAAATTGCCAGTATAGTACATTGATATTCATATGTTCATGCCAAGATTTCTTTTTGGTATAGAAACCGTAAACCTGAAAATGTATCATCTAAAAATTGGTAAAATATCAAAAACTCTATCAAAGTATTTTATGAACATTTCATGAAGGTTTCTCTAGACAGAAACTGGAGCAACTGTGATCTTTGTTCAGAGCGGAGAGATAGTGGCTCTGGTAATGAAGACAGGTACAGTCCCCTATTCAATCCTGTAAATGCCCACAAAGTACAAAGCTTTTCATCTTGTGCGCAACAAGGTAAAAGAAAATTCCCTTTCGGTACTTTGGGGGCTGCATAGAAAGGTGATGATTAATTTGCGATAACGTCTGAGGCAATAGTGTCGATTGTTTTTACATACAAAAAGGCACGCAGACAGTTTGAGATTGTACACTCAAGTTTACAGATATCTGTCTCTTAAGATTCCTCATGATAAGACAATGGAATGGAGAAAGATACAATGGGATGGGTGTTCCTCCACGGAGTAAAAAAGTACATTTAAAAGCTTGTGTAATATGTTAATGTTTTAGATTGTTACGTGAGGTGACCTTTTTCGGGGTAAGAAGCCTTTTGCTATGAAACACTGCCGGAAACTCACTTTACAAAAGAGAGCTAGAGTTCATTCTCTCTCCGATTGACTGTTAATAAGTGACAAGAATAGTCAACGTCTCTCCAGGTTTGATGATGGTAGTTTTATGGTCCATCTGAACCGCCTCTCTGTGGCAGCTCGGTCACGAATCCCCCTGTTGTGCTGAAATCCCCGGCTAATAAAACAAATCAAGCATCCCTCTGTGAATAATGCTTACCAACAATCTCGGCTGTCATGAAAAGGAAATACAGCAACGCTGCAAAGACGAGCCTCCTCATCACCCTCCTGTGCTTGACCCCGTCCCTCTTCTTGGTGCAACTGTCACAGGGGTCCATGTTTAACCCAGGGCTGCCCGGGCCGACGGAGGAGTCCAGCAGGCAGTCGTCGTCGTCGTCGTCGCCGGCGGCCACCGCCAGCGTGCTCACCGCCACCCCGTTGGACGGAGCTCCGGCAGAGTAGTCCGACATCTCTCCGGAGACCACGACCCTCAGCTTGTTGAATTTGGGCGCCTCGTCCTCCGCCAGCTCGTCGGAGAAGTCGAAGGGCGCCGTGTCGCTCAGGTGCCAGTCGTTCCGCTCCCTCCTGAAGGAGGAGCGCACCTTGCTGAAGAGGCTCCCACCTGACATCTTTGACGTTAGCTGAGTGCAAATTGGTCAAAGTGTCAGTTTGCGACACACAGACAGCTGTTGTAATGAGGCCGTTTGTTAAGAAGTACGAGTCGGACTTACCTAATAGATGTTCTTATGGTCGTATAAACTTTATTCCGCTTGAAAAATGATAACTGTCATCTTAATACTGGTTTAAACATCGTCGTTGAGTTGTGCCTCCGCACTCAGAAACAAAAACACTAGCAAGTTCGGTTGCGCTCGCAGTCACATGATGACGCGAGAGTCACATGACGTTTTTTTTTTTAAAGCGCAGACGCAGAAAACTCGTCACAAACGCATTTTCCGTTGTCTCTCCTGCTTCTGGTCAGAAGTACATCAACTCTTCGCATCTCCAATAATAAACAGAGAGTGAAACGGGTAAGACGGCGTAGACTGAGGTGACATGTTTACTGATTATTTGGTTTACGACGTTAAGTTACACGTTAGGAAGCAGCTCAACGGACTAGCTAAACCACTTCCTCAACGGTCAGCTTGGCTAACGTTCACCTGGTCACTTCCGCCCGACAGCAACTGTTTTATTCGGGTTATACAGGGAGTCCGGTTCAGCACGGCCGTCGCATATGGAGGGAGAGGAGATAGAAGATGAAGGACCTTCGCTCCAGAGGGAACCTCCACACAGTGAAGGTGTGTGTGTGTGTGTGTGTGTGTGTGTGTGCGCGCGCGCGCGCGCTTCACGTGCTGTAACATCTGTCTGGCCTGAGATAAACAGGCTGCATGAACTTCTGTATGGATTAGCTGACCGATCCAGCACCAGTTTGTACCTGTCATGTGTGTGTGTGGGGAGGGGGGGGCTTGTGTATCCTCATTCACTCAACCTTGTGTGGGCCCCCACATAAATCTGACTGCACAGCAGAATTAAGCTCCGAGTACCGTCTTTAAACCGAGTTTATAAAAACTCTTCCTTTAGTTTTAAGTCCAAAACTTCTCTGTTCACTATTAGGATGGATTTTTATCCTGAAAGCTCTGATATGTTTGACTTTGCACTACATATCACAGTAAATGCAGCATGCTTAAAAAACAAATCATGACTTACAGTTTAGCATACTGTGATTAAATACATATTCATGACGCCTGCAGAGTCATGAACAACAAAATGATATATATAGTAATAATATGTGTCGTCGTGGCGCAGGGGTTAGAGAAGGTGTGCTGGGAAGCATACGGTTGGTGGTTCGAGTCCAGGCTGCCCCATGTTCCATGTCGAAGTGTCCCTGAGCATGTCACCTGACCCCTAATTGCTCCCCGGGCAAAAATGTGAAAAAGCCATGGGTTTAAAGTGTAATGTAAGTCGCTTTGGATGAAAGTGTCTGCTAAATGACCTGTAATGTAATATTATTACATTACATTACAGGTATATAATATATATAATATATTCTTTTTTAAATTATTTGTTTATTTAAGTAGTTTGCAGACGTTGCCTTTGGGTGAAAAGAAGTTGCTTGATGTCTCTTTATTTTTGTGTCAACCGGACAAAACCAGCTGATATTGCTCGACACACTGGACCAAGACGCTTGCAGAGTCATGAATAAAATAAAGTTACGGGATCCGTCACAGACAGGGGGGAGATGGTTATGGTGAAGAACCTTGACATTGCAAAGGGGTTTTACTCATCTGGACTCGCTGATATTTCATGACGTCGCCGCATTCTCGGTAAAAACAGTCAATCTGGCGTAATTTCTGTGACTTCCTACGGAGGTTAGTTAGGTTAGTTTCCAACAACAACAGAAAGATTCAACATCAGATGAGATGTGGTAATATTCCAGTTCCCCGTTGCAGTCAATCCAACATTGTGAAAATATTCAGCAAATTAGTTTAAGTACGTTCATGGAAATGACGTTTACAAATTACATTACTGCAACTCTATTACTAGATTCTTTTATTATACAAGTACTGTCCAGTGATTATGTAGGTGAGAGATAAATTAAATTGGACAGTACAGTGACCAACACTAAATCATGTCAGCAGTCAGACAAACAAAAAGGGCAGCCGGTCAGAGTTCAACACTCATCAGAACACCAAAAAGTGACTCGTGGCCCTCAATCACGGCTGCCCCTTCTTAGTAATTCCATGTTTTTGCAACACCAAACACGTTATTACATTTTTCAATACAATACAATTTTCTTCAACATTCGCCAGATCTCCAGCTGGCACAGCAGGACTCGTGGCGTGCAGAGAGCTCGGCGCCGGCAGAGCGCGTGTACGTGGATAAAAAGGCAGTGGACAAACTCACGGAGGGATTGCTCTCTCATTACCTTCCTGATCTACACAACTCTAAAGGAGTCCTCCAAGAGCTCACGTGAGTGTTTCAGGGCTGTCTCATCCGGGAGGCACCAGGAAACGGGTTAATACGTGGCACGCACAGATGGTACTCAATGGTACTTTTCTCAACTATCTGTTTATTTAAATAGTTTGCACACGTTGACTTTGGGTGAGAAGAAGTTGCTTGATGTCTCTTTGTTTTCGGGTCAACCAGACAAAACCAGCTGATCTTGTTAGACACACTGGACCAAGAGGTCACCAAGTTCAGAGACTGTAACTCCCTACTGGACCTCAATTCACTGGTAAGTTAGGGCTGATTTTATAAACTAATTTTCCCCTCAGCAGCCCACGAGAACGTTTTCTAAACCCAGTTTGTTGTCTTCAGTTTACAGAGGCGAAGGTTTATCACAACCGACTGGTGAACATAAGGAAAGAGATGATTATGCTCCACGAAAAAACCACTAAACTGAAGGTACTTCAGGGGGTTCAGGAGCAACATTTGGAGGGTGAGTTGCAGACTAAATCGTTAAAACAACCCGGTTTGAATTTTTGTTTTGGTCGACTCTCAGAAAAGAGCTTTGAAGGTGCAGCAGCAGAAGCAGAAGGAGGCGCTGGAGAAGGAGCATCAGCGTGAGAAGGAGCTGGAGAGAGAAAGGCAGCTCATCGCCAAACCTGCGAAAAGAACCTAAGATCCCGTCGGCTGTATAAACGTACCGGTGCTTCTGCATGCCCTCCAGTATTTATTAAATATCAACTGTACGCCACATTACTGCTAACTTTATTTCAAAACAAAATACATTTTAGGAATCTTTTTTTCTCCCCCTGATTTTCTGCTTTTTTAAAAGGGGGAGGGGGATTTCCAACTAGAACCAGGCAGCTTCAATTTCATCTCATTTTTGGAATTGATCTACTTGAAACAGGGTTCATTCACTTAATCCATCCCGCTGAGTATTACAAAGGTGACATGCTCTCGTAATGCTTCAATGTCGATCAAAACGGTTTCATTATGATGTAATTTTTTTTCTCGGCTCGCCCTGTTTGCCACCAACTTAAACACAAAACAAAAAGGTTTATGTGGACAGCGTCTGCAAAGAGATGATATGAAGTTGTTAAAATGGGACATTTGTTTTCCGCCTTTGCTTCCAACCGTTAAACTTTTGGGATGTGAGTTGTGTGGTTTCTGGACGTGTAAAATGACACTCATCCATGTTTTGTTTATAGAGCTAACAAGATGATTTTGGTTGAAAGTGTTAAACTGTCTTTGCTGAAAGAAGGGGATTGAATTTGGGTACTCGTCCAATTAATTTTCAGTGTAGGGCATTTTTAGTAAATGGGCCAAAAGGTCCGGCGGGATACTTTTGTGTCGGACATTGCCCAGATCCCCACAAGCCAAAGATGTGGACTAAATCATCACATGCTGAGACTTCCCGCCATCGACCTCTGCTGACACAAACTCTTCTTCCCTGCGAGTCGGAACAAATGACTCGGAGACACTTTGAAAGCCGTCGGACAATGACGAGGAAGAAAATGGGTTTGCTGTTTATGTTTTGTTTAAAGACACAGTGTTAATATATTATTCCTTTTTGTGTCGAATGTTGTGTAACAGAAACGCTGTTTGAAATGATCTGCACTGACTAACTGTTTCTGGGATCCAGATGATAATGTGCAGCAGACGTTGTGCACTACTTCACTGTTTGTACAGTTAATAATAAAGGCAACGCAAACTGGTTTGTTGTCAAGTGACTTGTGTGTTTTTCATTTCCTGTGAGGATGAGCAGTTGCACACACTTCTAAAGATGTTTATTAACCGATGTGTGTTCCAATCCTCTCACCGCCGTTATGCTATTTAATACGTAGTACGTCAAATGCAGTCGAACATACCGGGATGTGTACAAACCTGCCTGCTTTTTGGGTAATCTCAGCCACAATCCATTGTGCAGCACATCTATGAGCAAAGGGGTCAAAGTTCAAGGTGTTTGTGTGTCCCAAATGAGTGCGTACTGCATGCAACAGCACCTACTTAGTCTGCAGTGTGTTGTAAAATATGTATTTGTTAAGGGGTTTGTGCACCGATGGGATGATGTGAACTGTGTTAAGCGTCTCAGTCCAACAGATGTCAGCAGAGACCACCGTTCACTTCCAGTTGGTTCCAAAGTCCGCCTCCGCCAACGTGAGACCAATATTTTCATCCGGCGGAGTCCCGCTTTTTTCCCCCCCACCATCAGTCACACGGCAGACACACAAACAGGCGTCTGTTGACAGAAACGTTTCTGTCAACACATTCCACTCTTTCCCAACACGACTGTCTTTGTCACATTCCCCCCGGTTCACATTCTAAATCTAATTTTATGCTCACTGCTACGGCAGGAAACTCGGTCACAACCAACATGGCTCGGCGCGGCGCTCTCACCCAGCGCTGCGTGGCCCCGCCGGGGTCCAGACTCAGGACAGGGGGCAACTCGATGAAAGTGAGGCACTGCAGTGGAAACCACACGTTGAATATAGTTTTCACTACCTTGATTTGGGGTTTCAGTTCTTGTGTGTGTTTTCTTCTTTAAATACTGTGGTTCTATGTTATGAATGCCTCATGCAACGCTGCCGTTGTTTTTCTGAAACGGGCTCAGTGTAAAGTACAGAGTAAAAGGACAGAGGTGTTGCTTGGCAACAGCTTTATGTGTTTGTAATGTAGTTAGCATCAAATAAGCAGATTTCCTTTCGTTGGTTTATTTGTAACAAACACAAAATCTGGCCATTAACAAGCGATATTAATCATTCTTGTATTTATTCCATTTGAAGGAAGAGTGTTCTCCCAGCGGCTTGCAGAGCGAGAAGTGAGCGCTATACAATCTCAGATGCAATATGCAGCCTCACCGCTAGACGTCCCAAAGTCCTAAAACATTACTGCAACAGACCACATCGTTGAGTTTTCTCACTTTGTGATATTATATATTTAGAACTAGTGTATCTTAATAAAACGGGGCTCTGTCATTCCAGACAAAGGGGGCGTACAAGGTAGACGGCTCAGAGGAGCCTCGTGGTTTCCGAGGCTCTGCTCCTCCGCAAGTATTTAGTTTTAACTTGCCGCTGTTTTTAGAAACTTTGCCCGTCAAGGAAAAGCAACAACTCCTTTTACCAAAACCACACGCGAGTCACAGACACGGAGCTGCAGCAGATGATGAGGATGATGATGTTGTAAAGCGGACGGCCTTCCTGTCTGAGTAAACAGTGACCCAGACGGGTGAGGAGTGGGAGGCTGTGGTCTGCTTCATACCCACAGCACCAGGCCTCACCCGGGCCCGCCACAACAGGATGTGGTCCTCGGCCCGCTGAGGGCCATCGCGTCGTGGTGTTACTTCCCTCGGGTTCTCGTGGTAGCAGACTATTCATGCACACTGTGAAGGCCTCTGGAAAACATAGTGACAGTGAATGAGGCTACTTTCCTACCTCAAGCAGGTCTTATATAACATACATATATATATATATATATATATATATATATATATATATATATATATATATATATATAATCATATAATCATATATATAATTTGTCTGTGACCCAACAGATGGTGCACAGGAGATATTTACGCATGTGCATAGACAGTGTAACCACCACATCTTTTCACAACAATATTTTTACATGCATTTAGCTGCGATAGGAAGTGACTAAATATATTGTACAGTGTTTTTATTCTACTTCTACACCACTTTAATTCAGAAGCAGATACTGTCTTACTCCACCACATCAGTTACAGTATATGTACATCAGTACTTTGCAGGTAAGGTCTTCCTACAAAAAGCACATAACCAACCTTGAATATTAAATTAAACCGTTAAATAAAATATACTGTCATAGATAATATTGCAAATACACAAATAGCTTCATTTAACATGGAGCTAAACAGTCCTGCTGTATAAATATGTTGTTCTTGATTAGATGATAATTGTATCTCTCTTAGAACTCCAGTTATACAAACCAGGTTCCATCTTAAATAGCATATTGTATTTTGTACAGCATTTTTGTAAGTTTTTTTTAACATTTTTTATGGACAAAACTATTAAACTCAGTTGTATAACAATATGACTCTGAAATGTGGCTCTGTCCTATAATTTGACAGAACATGGAAATAATATACTTCTATAATAACACAAATGTTCCTGTAATGTTATTGAACGAGGGCGTCAAGTGTGTTCATTGATGTCAGATAACATGTGGTGCGCTGCATATTCAAAGACGTGAAGACATGAAGAAAAACACGAGTAGCAAAAATAACAATACAACAAAAGATGTAAACACAAAGCTGCTAATGTAACTTTATTTCAGTAATAATTAAAGTAAAGGATCCAAATACTTCTTCCACCTCCTGTGTGCTGCAGCAACAGCAGTGACGTGTGCACAATCGCGGTGTGTTACGCCCAGTGTGGTTCAGAGAGGCTCCTGTTGTGTCTGCAGACCAGTTCCACTCCAGCCGAGTCGGGGTGAAAGGTTCTCTGCTCAACTCGCTGCCGCCTCTTTCTTTACGCCCCCAATTGTCACTCGAGGTTTTATGGCACCCGCGGCTGGTTCCACGGGCCCCTCGCAGACTGTAGTCAAAGCAATGCATAAAAAAACAACTCATTGGCTGGAGAGGAGGCCTCAGAGAGCTGAGTGGTTGCGGTGGAGGGGAAAGGATGATTCCATTAAAAGAATGTGCCCTGTCCTGAGGAGGACATTTGTTATAGGACGTCTTGCCTGAGCTGTGAGCGAGACGGAGAGACCACAAGCTGACGGTCGCCTCCCTCGCCGGGCCGGTCTGACCCGTGCGAGGTGCGGATAATCCACGACCACAACTGTATGCAGCTCGAGGTCCAAAGGGAGCGTTTAGTGTCGTTTATATGGCCTGCTCAAGTCCGCCGCAGCAGACTGTTGCTTCCTCTTGCTTATTTTGGATGCACCAAAAGGTTACGAGGTGAAGTGCGTATGCGACTAGAGGAGAACAGAAGCGGCCGTTGTGTTTCTTCCAATGGAGGCCATGCCAAGGTTACACAACGTCTTATCTCGCACACTCACATCTGACCAGTTCTCACATTCGGAGTAACACCCCTTTTAAAATGGGTTAGCCTCCCATTGAGTAAATTAAGTCTCAAAAGGATTTCTGTCGTAGTAGTTAAGATCATTGAATTGCGGTTAAAAATTTGGGCACATAAAAACGTCAGCTCGCACAATACCCGCTTTCGCACTCCGAAGCATCTGTGACTTTGCAAAAAAGATCATATGGTATTTCTGCTAGAAACTAAAGTGGGCTGCAGTAAATTCCCAAGATGGGTGCGATTGTAACTGGATGTCTCACCATCTCGCTCCCTCAAACACACTCAATCCCTAAAAACAAGACATGAACCCGTTACAGCTACAGTCTTTTAACTATTAGATACATATCGTATCAAGCCTTTGGGGACGAACTGGAAGTTTGGGAAAGACGCGCGCGCTCAGCAAGAGGGGAACAGACTGGAAAACCGACTAGGTCATCTGAAACTAGGGATTACGACAATGACTCAATTATGAAGTAAGTAAATAAAACATGCCCTTTAAGACACAGGTTTGCCGTTTGCAAGTGTGTCCATGCTGTTGCTGCAGAGACACGAACGTGTCAACAGTCAAAGCCTGAAAATGTTACTTTACTGAAGTATTGTAAGTCGCTTTGGATAAAGGCGTCAGCTAAATAACATGTAATAAACCCCATATACACAGTAGCACATGCTTTTTGTTTAGAACAATGCATGTAAAATGATTTCCAAACACGTTCACAACTTTGTAAAAAAGATCACATTTCTTTGGTTAAAAATCTTTACTTATGTAGACCATGTTGTTATCACTATTAATTATGAAAATTACATTAAACACAGGAATACAGTATATACATAGTATATCTGAAAGCCAATATACAGCTTTGCATACTAAACCTCTGCTCAAAAGACTTCAAGCTTGTCTCGTACATCGGTTTGGTTTTAAACAAATGGATCCCCGTAAGGGAATAATGTACCACATTGGCAGCAATACACTAGTTTGGAAATGGGTGTAAAATCAAGCATACAAGTGGCGATTTACCTTGAGGTGAAAACAATGTCAAGTAAACACCTCTAAATAACCCACGTGCAATACTTAGATAAGGGTTGTGCTCTTAAGGTCTAAAGGTTTAGCCTCGGGATTCAACTTATCACCCACACCAACTGTTGAGCGAGACGAGAGAAAGTGCTCTGCTCACTGAGCTTAGTAAGAATATTCCTTTGAGAAACTTTAACTTTACATGTTCCAAGACTTGCAACTCACCTGCATAGAGCTCATTAAAATAATCACCACAGTTGTTGGCAGTAGTATTTATTGACAGAAGTGCAACTTTCCTCTTAACAGATAATCTCGTTAGAGAGTTTGCTATAACAAAAGCAATATGGTCGATATAAACAAGCCAGCATTTGCTGCCATCAGTTTGCTTTATTTATTCATTTTTTTAAATCGTGGCAGTCAGTTAGATGAGCTGCCAGGTAGAAACTTAAGGCACGGCGGTCTTCTGCTTGCAGGCTGAGCCAAATCGGATGACCTGCAACACAGGCGGAAAAAAAATAAAACTAAAATTCAGAACCTCACATTTGGACAAACCCGTTAGAGATTTGTTTTATTTTACCGTTTGTTAAAAAGACTTCTGCATGTTGTTCAGGATGTCACCGTAGACAAAGTTGAACAGCTGTTCCTTTGACTGGGTTCCATCGAGCTGCACTGGAATAGCAAATGCATATTTAAAATCAATAGGGGAAATTCTGTAAACGAAAATTTAGGGATTAATCCAAAAATGCACCAACCGACGTCAACATCTGATGACTCCATGATGTGCTTGTGTTTCAAATACATGGGCCAGACGTGGCCGTCGAACAGGCCGGGGGGGTCTGGCACGGTGTAGTTCCTTGAGCTGCAGAGACCGACACACGAATTAAAAAAAAGGAAAACAAAAAAACAAAAAAAAACAGCCCAGAGTATAAACACCAGTGTGAACATTGCAGCACTTACCACCTCCTCTTTTTGCATTCTTCATACGGGATGGAAAGAAAGTAACGTTGGTTCAGCACGTCGATCAAAGGTCTGCGAGGAGAGAAATAAGATGCAGAGGCTCGCCGGTCCCGTTTCTTTTACAGCGAGAAACACGTCACAGCGTGCGTGAAGGTCACGCGTTCTCACCCGTAGGTGTAAAGCAGAAAGCCCTCAACAATAAGGATGCGAGTCTCCTCATCCTTATTGTCAGACTTTGGGACAATCTCCGTATCCAGGGTGTTATTGACGCCATGGGACTTCTCAAACTTCACTGGGTTGTCCAACCACGCACGGATGGTGCTCATCATGGCGTCCATGTCCAGGGCAGAAATGACTGAAAGGCAAAAAGGTGTGTAGAAAGGATAGCGGTGAAGGGAGAAGTGCGTAGAAAATAGCAAAAGGAAAAGTTAGAATCAGTGTATGAATTTGGTCTATATTGCATGCAGGTGAGAAATGTAAGGGCAGCACACACACACACGACAAATGCACACAGACACCCTCACAAATCCGTTCATAAAGACCCGGGCTTACCATCGTACTGCTTAAAGCCATCCTCACCAACTTCAATCTGATCTTGGGGCTGAAACATACATTGATAAGATGTACCCAGGTACATTCCACTGGAGCTACACGGGAAGCTCTGAAGGGGTTCCCTTTTTAACTCACTAGGTCAAAGTGTGTACAGCAACACAGGCAAGCGTTTACACCCCACCAACCAGTTACTCAGAGCAATCCCTTCAGTTTACTGCATCCCACAATGCAAACACATGTGTGCAGGAGGCTCACCTTGAAGAAGTCATCCTGATGTACCACACAACAGTTGGGCAGGTTCTTGATCAGTCTGTCGGTGAGGGTGGTTTTCCCTCCGTTGGTTACGCTGAAGGGAGCAAAGTAATAATTAATGCAAATGATTGGAGGGGGGACGGGACAAATCAAATAAACCCATTGATTAATGATTAACAACCACATTAAATACCGGTATGTGAAGCCATTGCCTGCATTCAATATGGCAGGTTATGCATTCAAAATATTTGTAATATTTAATTGCACATTAAATCGAATACATTTTTGATGATTCTCACAATAGCTTTTCACAGCTAAAGTTAACAATTAGCAGCAGGTTGGAGAATGTAAACACTTTAAATAGAGTTTGTAGTTTCGATTTCTAACGCCACATGCAAAAAGAAAACACGAGTTAATTGAAAGAATGGCAAATGTAACTTAATATTTTACATTTCAAGTAGCGTTAGCATCAGCTCTATTTATCGGTAGACGATGCTGGGAAGGAGTGTCATTAAAAGGGGGGAAAAAAGGAACACCGATATATTTGGTCACAGAACATTACTACAAAAAGAAAGGGACATTCTGGCAGTCTGGCCTGTCCACGTGGGCCGGGCTCCTAGGGGCTAGCAAGAGCCTCTGTTAGCCAGCTAGCTTAGCTTAGCATGTCATTCGTTGCAGGGACTCACCCGCCGATGCCGATGATGTACTTCATGATTTCGGATGGTCAAAGAGGGCGGTACGGTTGAGAGTCCAAAAGCGTCAATAAAACCGGTTCAAGATTACGATGATCAGACGGGAAGAAAGCTTAAAAAAGAGAAGGTTACAGGAAATGTCAACTACTTAATTCCTCCATGGCACTTAAGTTAAGTGAGTAAGGGGAGAGCAGCGGGCAGGTGTCACTGGGACGCGGTCTTCCACCGAGAGAGGGCCGGGAGAGCTCTGTGGCTTCGTCACGTACTGAGGAGACGCGACCTGATTGGCTATTTAAACACTCCGGAAAACAACCAATCAGGAGCGAGTTTTACCGCAGAGCCATCCCACTTCCTTCCTGCTGCACGCCCACTTCACACCTGCTAACCGCAACCCGAGATCCAGCAGGGCCGAGATGTGATCTGACACTTCTATGTCACGTTTAGTGACAAATATTAAAATACCATGACATCCCACTTAAGTAAAAGTAATAATAAAGTGTAGAATCTTTTTGAAAAAACACATACAATGTTATTGGATTATAGTTATTAGTAACTCCTATAACAAATATAAAATAAAATAAAATATCTTTACAGTACTTTGAATTTTGGTCCTTTATTTTGTATTTATATGTTATAAAATTGTATTGATGCCACTAGCAGCGTTTTACTCACCACTGAATCTCTGAAAATGAATTTTCAGATAAAGAGACTATAAGACTGTTAACTCAAGATAGAATATCATTCTAAATCCTTCTGGACATGAACAAAAACATTCTATAAAGAAGAAAAACCCAATCAACAGAGTATTTGCTGTTCATTGCCGGTAGCATTTAACTTTGTAATCAACAGGGCCTCTCTTTATCACTCGGATGATAACAGACGCATGTCAGCTATAGGGAAACTTTGCATTGCGGGCATGGTGCCGATCACCTGATCATCAGTGTTTTTCGAGGGTTTCCGTAAAAAAATAATTGAATAAACAAACAAGCAAAATAGTAAAGAAAAAGATCTCTCAACACAATCACACTTCTGTGGTGTTTATATCACCAGCCACCAGCCGACCTCTGTCTGTTTTGTTTTGAAACTTCCCAGCAAGTTCTATGACACAGTTTCCAGCGGTTGCACCAACACATTACTTAGGTTGAGGGTTTACACCCTCGAGACAGGAGGAAGTTGTCCAGACAAGTTGAATTCCTTACAGTTTGTAATATTTCTATTCATAGTTCATTGTACCAACCTTTGTAGGAGATTTCATGGGATTTTTTGTGGTTTACAACAATTTAATGAACACAGCTTTTATATCTACAGATCAAAACTCATCAAGCTGTTAGGAATTCACTTTAAAATAATGAATAAATGATTGATTTCAATCAGGACGGTTTACAAGCCAGATGAACATTTTCAACAAATCACATTTTCCAGCCTTCTCAATTGGCTACGTGATACAATAAAATTACCATCACCTCAAAACTGTGACTGAGTGATCGTGGTTCTGGAAGCGTCACACTTTAGGCCCAAATCGTGTTTTTCAAGATCTATTATGCTATTGCAATTTTTCAGTTACTTGGAAACTCAAGCGCTGAACAGATTTGATCGTTTACGTCGGTGAAAGTATTAATACGCTCTGAAATATTGTGACTAATCCTAAACGTTGTATTCAGCAGTCTGGTATTTTCTCACAGGCTTTTTTTACACTTTTGCTAAATTTAGTGGAATTATAACATCACAGCTGTACAATGACGGGGTCTGCTGTTTTCTTTCCCGTCATAAAGTCTTTTTTTAGTGAGTGAGTTCATCATCACTGTGTCCACTCACACAAATATTGTGTTCCACGCCTTCAGTCTCAGGTGTGGAGGTCCGAGCACGACTCTGCTTCCTTTCCATGAACCTGAGTTGCTGTGGCTTCATTGTCTATTGCAGTGATTCTCAACTGGTGGGTCGCGACCCCGCGGGCCTTTGCCTGGGAAAATAAAAATTAGAATTAACAGCTGGCTGTTTTGTTTTTTCATGAAACTTGTTTTTGTGTTGGCTTACGTATTCTGTCTCCAAACTATCTCAGGTTCAAAGTGCACCATATTTTCATTAAATCAATTTGAGAAGTTGAGAATGTTCCTCGATTTGGGTCGCGGCTTGTCGTTAAGGGGTGATGGTGGGTCCCGGAGCCAGACCAGTTGAGAACCACTAGTCTATTGCGTATTTCTGGTGTTGTGCGTAATAACTCCATGCTTCTCCTCAGCATGTGACGCAGATTTGAAGCCTTCCCATATGGCGACTTTGTGTCATATATCCAAATGCTCCATTCAGTGGAGACGCTCTCAGCACTCACGTTTGTGTCACCCTTCATTCTTCTCATTTAATCCCATTGTGTTCCATTAATGCCAGATTTTCTGCAAGGCCGCAGCTCGTTCGCAGTGAATTGGTGGAAATATGAAACATCTGCCTTCCAGTCGGGCCGTGTGATACAGCCGGCGGATCACCAAAACAACCAAGGGAATGGACGATGCTTTTTGCAGTTCACATCCTCAGGTTTTTCGCCCCATGCTTCTATCTTTCCAAACAGCTGGCTGCCATCTGCTGGCCGTGATCAGACTTTGCTCTCTGTATCTACCTGTACATCTGTCTATCAGCGGGCAGCAGCACACCTGCCCCGTCTTCGAGCAATTGCATCGTGCTGCTGTTCAGGGTTTGGGTGATATTGCTGTTCGAGGCCCAGTCAACAGCAGGAAGTGAGGCACCGGGACACTTTTATTGTTCTGTTATACAGATAATTATCAGTGGAAAAGTCCGGACAAAGTGGGAACTCTTTAAGGAGGTGAAGAACGTTGTGCTTTAAGCTTTTTCACTCTTTCAGACACAAACAGTAGGGACAGACCTTTTTTTTGTTACCCACACTCTCTGTGAATAACAATGATACGTTTGATGCGCACAAACATAATACACGCATGTGCAAAAAAAAAAAAAAAAAACTTCAAAAATCCAAGAGGCAATGGCGGCTGGTGGAAGATTTTATAGGTACGGCTATCCAATTCATTTCAACAAACATCCCAGGATGATTTAATGCATATCCGTAAAGGTAACAAAAACGCAATACTAATTTGAAGTTCAATATTCAAAATGTATCGCAACACAAAAAATCTTTGTAAATAAAAAAAAAAATCTTATTTGTGTCACAATAAAAGGAAATTCCGTATAATATATCCACGTATCTATCTATCTATAATATTGAGGTGATATTATAGAAATAACAAAACAATCAAATGGCTTCTATTTCCGGGTAACAAAACAAAAAACAAAACACTTGGACACTATATCTACTTGTGAGCCGGCTGTACAAAAACCCAGCAATAATTTTAATTTTAATTAGTTATTGAGGCTCCAGAATGAAAAATGATTCAGTACATCAAAAGAAAAGAAGAGAGAAAAGTCTGAAAAAGTAAATCTATCTTTGTTTTCCCGTAAAAGCCTTTTTTCTAGTGGCTTTCTTTTATTAAACATCTCAATCATCTCAAGCTCTTTCTTGATATTCTATGATTGATGACATGTTTAAAGGAACCTGTGCCAACTTTACACCTCTGGCCCCACAGCTGAGATGGATCTTCTCAACGATCACCCGACTTGTAGCAGTAGACCCCGTGCTTGTGCTGAGGGGGTGGGAAGCCAAAGCTGTGCACCCCGGGCTCAGGGGGGCCGCAGTTTCTTCGGGGGCTGCTGATGGGGTACCGAACGCTTCCGTCGGCCAGCCAGCCGGCGTCACAATGGTCCAACCCCGTCAGTTTCCAGGCGGCGTAGAGCTGTCCCACTTTGGCGACCTGCGCCCCGTCCTCCTGACACGCCTGCTGAGCATCAGTCAGGTTCATCTTGGAGGACTGAAGGTAGTAGACTTTCCCTTTGAGGGAAACACAGGGATTGTGGCATCAAGGGGAACTTCTGCAGCCTCAATAAAGCTCTTTAATGTTATTAGTGACAATTGCTCTGTGGAAGAAAAATAAGCTTTTCTAGAAGCAGATCTTGAACCTGTGACGCTGTTCGCTTCACACCGCCTCACCTTGGAGTGAAGAGGAGAAGCAGAAGACATCGAAGCGATGAAGGTGCAGGTGCCGTCTGCCGTAGCTCCGCACGCCGGGGGCGTGGCCGCTCCCGCCGCATGGCGCCCTGGGCCGGGTGATCGGGTACTGCACCGTCCCGTCGGCCAGCCACCCGGCGTTGCACCAGTTCAGGCCTTCCTTCCAGGACCGGAGGAGCTGTGGGAAGGTGGCCAGTGTGGAGTCCTGCTCCTCACAGGCCTGCTGGGCTGCCGGGAAGCTGAGGTGGTAATGACCACCAGGGTGCTGGTAGGGAAACACCACCCCTGAGCGGAGGAATTGATTGGACGCTGTTACTCAAAGTATGTGTGCAAAGGTGCCTCACTGGGAAGCTTTAAATGGAACAAAGACATCCTAAATGTTGTCTATAAGACAGAAAGACTGCACTGGGAAATGCCCATTAATTAACCTGCAACTAATATTGCCATATTGATTCCATTTATTTGTTACAGAAGAAGGAAATAAACTAAAGCTCTACCATCGAGGTCATGGTGTGGACGCGTTGTACCTCGTAACTCCAGATAAACGGAAGTGCTCCTGTCCTCCAGTCCGTCCACCACCTCGCAGCGGTAACTTCCTGTGTCGTTCAAAAGGAGGTCAGTCATCAGGAGCGTAGCGTCTCCCGGGAACTCCCGTCTGAGCTGCACGCGGCCCCTGACCAACGGACACGCCGGGGGGTTAAAACAAAAAGTTTGTAGATGGAAGAGTAAATCAGCAATTCATCATTTCATATGTTTAGACAACCTGAAGGCCCCAAAACCGCGACTGCGGGAGCCGACGGCCACCAGCACGTCTGTCTCGTGTCCCCCGGCAGCAGGCCGCCAGGACCACTTGACCCGGACCCGCCTGGGCGAGCTCGACTCGGGCTCGCGCCAGAACCTGCACGGCACCGTGGCGTTACCCCCTCTGACCGAGAACACCGTCGGCTGAGCGGAATCCACCTGGAGCTTCACGCCGCTGAAACCGGCTGAAACGCAGACGTGAGATCTACTTAGATGTGACAGAAACACACATTCACACACACGCGTTTTACATGAAGTCTCATTCATCCTGTTGCATACTGCCTTTGTCGCCGTGTCCATTGAGGTAGTCGCGGTAGAAGAAGTTGCTTGGGATTGTGGGGGCAGCCGGTGAGAGAACCAGCTGAACCCCCAACAACAGGGCAGCTTGGAGGCCGAAGGTCATCCTCACAGAGAAATTGGATTGGCTCCGTTGTGCCTAAAGTCACAAAGGGGAATGATTACTTTTGTATTCTGTATTTGTCAGTTTGGATGTAGTGAGCGGACAGTGTCAGCAGAGGTCAGCATGACACCATGTTACTGAGTGCTGTTTCATTAAAAAACATTTGTTGTGTTTTTATGAAACTCTAATCTTGCCACCACAACTTTAAGCATTTTAGTATTATATGTTGGTTCAAATATATTTTAGAAAATAGTTTCATGCATTCTGCCCCCCCCCCCCCCCCCACAAAACCGCTTCTTTGAGACGCCGAAAGACATTTGCGTTGTTTGCAGAACAGTTTTCAGCTTTGCAGGTAGTCGGGGCCCATTTGTGTTATTGTCATTTATTGCAACACCTGTGACATGGTCTGACGTAAAATACCTGATAAGAACCAAACTGAAAAAAAAAAATCTAATTTAAAAAAAATAAGTTTTCAAAAACAAATTTACAAAATCGTAGAGCAAATTTCAGAAGCTCGTTTGACCAATTAAGGCTGCGGAACATATTTGTTAAATAGTGAACGATGGATTTATCTTCCTCGCTTACCGGAACACGCGTGGTTTAAATCCCTGCCGAAAGGAAGGCTTTGATGTCGAGGAGCAAAAGTCAGAAGACGTCGGCGAGTCTTTCTCACGTCCTGAAGAGAAAATCGGCTTTCTGGTCAAACAACGAAAAGCGTCATTTTAAGGTTCCTCGTGTCCCCGCCGAAGACGAAACAGGTGCATCCACAGTCACGCAGGGATCCGTGTGATCCAACGTTTGGCTGCAGAGTAGGAAGTAATGCTCAACTGCCCCCATCCAGCTGTTTGGAATGGAAACACACCTGGGGGAGGGGGGGATTCTGCAGCCCGGCGAAAGGAAGGCAACGAGATCCCAGTTTCATCCCCCAGGACTTAAAACTAACAGTTAATTATCACAAGGCTGGTGTAAATGTTTAAAACGTGCCTTCATTTGTTTTGCATTTCCCACCATATTCTGTAAAACTACGCAAAAAGTCTCAAAGATGCCACTGAACCATTCCCTTTTGGAAATCTAAGGCAGTTCAAACGCACCAGGAGAATCAACAGATTAGTTCTTTTACTGCAACAAACCTAAGTTACAGAATCCTTATTTTTCTGTGAGGCCACCCACAAGCTTTAGGCTCGTGCTGTACGGCTGTTTGAGGAGGAAAACAACCTAACTGCCAGAAGTTGTGCGAAGCGTACGAGACATGGACGTGTGTTAGGTATGGACACGTAGGACAGATGTGTTGGAGATGCTGCGTCCTCCACCATATTCATTTCATAGAGATGAAAGCTGTTGCCGGGGGCCCAGCATACCAGCGTTGCAAGTTTTACAAGGGGACGAAGGCCTTACAGGGTGTAATTACTCTGTTAAACAGCCGGCCAAAGGCCCGGTAGTCCTTCCTGGAGAAACATCTCAACGTATCCTGCTGGTCCAGACAGCGTGTGTGTGAACCGAATGCTTTGAATTGAACGTTTTTGAGTTCATTTCTGTCCTGAGAGCGTCCAAATAAATACATAGTCACGCTTTACTTTCCTCTGCGGGTTTCAATGAGCAGCGATATGTGACTGTTGTATCAGCTTTCTTAATAGACAGTTTCAATGATGACAGGTCTGCCCGTGCAATGGAATAAACTCATATGTAACCCATCAGCTTATACTACAACATGACACAGACAAAAACGATACCTTTTTAAAAATATTTAATAAATGATCTCAGTACAACACAAACAGTGAATAACAATAATAAAAAAAATGTAAAACAAGGTTTATTTTCAACACATCTTTCTACATATTTCACGTCACTCAATGAAACTATTTGTGAGAACAAAGTGGAGAAAACTGCTGAAATTTATGCAGTTCAAATTTGAAAGATGTAATTTTTTCTAATCATAAAATTATTGCACAAGTCACTAAACAGCAATGACGATCTTTTTCATCGGTCCTCCGCAGACTGTTAAAAAACAAAAATGGAGGGTTGCTAACTGTTTAAGTAAGAAGTGGAAGGGGTGAAGAGCGCTGCTATCACTATCTATCGACTCACCAGTAACTAACACGAACCAGGACCACATTTAGTTTTTACCTAAAATTATTAAAATTCAAGTTATCCACAACCCACGCGGTGTTCTGCCTGTGAGCCACGCCAAAGCAGCGTCATTAACATGAACACTAAAGTTAGAAAGTGCTACGAGTGTCACAGTCCCAGCAGCAGCCGACGGGAGCGTTTCTCCCTCTGCTGTGGTCCGAGGGGACGAGGACGGACCGCCGCCACGGTCGACCGACGGGCGCCGCGTCTAATCGTCGCAGCCCAGCAGCTCCATGCGCAGAGTGACGCGCTCGTGCCACTCCCAGGGCACCACGCGGACGTACCGGGCGTAGAACGGAGGCTCGAAGAGGTTCTTCTTGTGGGTGTTGTTGTCCACGTTGCCTTGGAAGAGCTGCAAAAGTAAAGGTTAGTTAAATAACTAACTATAAAAATCACATTCTGCGCAAGTTTGTTCAGTTTGCAAAGAGCGAGCGCTTCTCTTGTTGCATCCTAACAATGTGCACGTTTGGCGGATACGTCCACCGTGTGTCTTATCAACCAGACATCAGGGGCTTGTTAATCAAACCGAGCTTAGCTGCCTTCTGACGACCTTACGACCCAGATCCTTCCAGCCCCACCCAGGCGTTCAGAGCCTTTCAGACAAAGCCCCCCGGGCGGCGTCATTATGTCATAAGCCTGCTGCTGCTGCGCGCGCAGTAAAAAACATCAAAGCCGCGGTTTTACTGGATCATCTGGGCTCGGCAAATGTGCCTAAAATGTTTCTCAGAGAAAGAAGCCGTGGCTCCACCTCTAAATAAAATACATATATATTATAATAATATCTAATATTACGGGCTCACACGTGTCTGACCTTATCTTTGCCGCTGTTCTCCTGCTTCACCGCACTCCACGACTCTCCGTCGTTACTGTAGGCGACTTTGAACACCGTCACAAACTGCACCACCCCAAAGTCCTTGGCCCCCTGAGTGATGATGCCCGTGAGGCGCTTTGTCTTCTCTAGATCCACCTGGTGAGGAGAGGGAACCGTTACACGCTGCGACACTCGCTGGCTTTGAAGGAGACTTTTACCAGCAGTCATATACCCCCCCTCACCCCGCTCCCCCCCCCCCCCTCACCTGGATCCACTCTGAGCGGTTGTTGTTGGCAGGAGACCAGGCGTTTGTCTTGCCCTGCTTATCCAGTCGGGCAAAGTGAGGGTGCCACGTGAAGGTATCGATGCCCCACGTGCGGAAAGCGCTGGAGGCCGAAAGCTGCCCGTCCGATACGAGGCGAGACCTCATTCCCAGAGGCCCCGAGCAACCTGACGTGTTCGAATAAACTGTGAATGAAAAGCAGGCGGAGGGGAGGGGGGAGCCCGGAGGGAGACGGAAAGAGGAGAGAAGAAGAGGAGGAAAAAAGAAGGCACCCAAATTCAGAAGAGTGTGATTGATTGAGAGAATATTACACCCGAAATTGACCAAGAGGACGGAGCAGCGAGAGGAGTACAGAGCAGAAGATTGGATGCTCTAATCGTGTAAACATAACCACACAAAGATGGAGGTTTGTATTTTCCTGGCTGTGTGCTGTGTGGCTTGTGTTCAGAATGGCTGTTTTTGCTGTTCCAGAGGTCCAATACTGTTTGTACTATTCATTTTCTGTCTGACCACAGCTGGGTGGAGTCTCAGTGTAACACCAGCAAGAAGAAATCCACGAAGGAAATGCCCAAAAAGGAGAGTTCACAGAAGCTCGCTGCAATTTGTCTGTTCAAAAAATTGTCATAATAAATATAATAATAACAATGAGAAGGCGTTTCTTGCGACGGGCGTTTTTACCATTGAGTTCGCAGCCCACCAGCTCCAGGCGCAGCGTGCAGGCCCTGCGGCAAACCACCGGGATGATGCGGATGTACTGGGCCACGATGGGAGGGTCAAAAAGGTTGGTCTTGGTGCCGTCGTTGTCCGCATTGCCAATGAAAACCTGCGGCGTGCCACAAAGCGAGAGTTAGGCGAGCGTCCGGAGACAGAGAAGCCCTCTGGAGGAGAGGAACGCGGCGAGGTCGCCTCACCTTGTCCCTCCGCTGGCCCTCGGCTCTGTACGCGGTGTAAGCGCTTCCATCGAAGCCGCTCGCCACCTTGAAGGCCTTGACGTACTCGGACGCGCCCATGCGACTGGCGCCCTGGGTGATGATGCCCGTCAGGCGCATCTTTTTCTGCATGTTGTTCTTGTGGGAACAAAACAAAAAACCAAAACAAGGGTCAGCCCAGCTTCCCGCCCCCCCCCCCCGGATTTTCAAAGCGCTCCGTCGTCTCGCCTCGATCCAGGGGTTCCTGTCGTGGGCGGCCGACGTCCAGGCGTTGACGAGGCCCTGGTTGTTGAGTCGGGCCAACTCCGGGCCCCAGCGCTGGAGACCCAGAATGCCGTAGTGCAGCGAGGAGGCGGATATCTGAGACTCCACAATGGCTCCTCCCTCCATCCCCAGCAGAGAGATGCAACCTAAGTCGTTCAAAATACCATCGAGCAAGTTACTACACTTTGTGATGTTTGTGTGTATATTTTAACCTCCACAATTTAAATCATATTACCAGTAAATGACTGCAGCTAATGTTCCTTTTCGGAAAAAAAGGTGTGTGAAATAAAACGTACTCAGCTGGCACTGCTTCCCAACATACGGCGAAGGGCATTGACACGCGTAGTCGCCGTCCAGATCTCGACACACCGCTCCGTTCTTACAGGGCTTGTTAGCGCAGTCGTTCACGTCTGGGGGGAAAAAAGGCAGCAATCCCTTGCAGTCATTTCAACTCCCAACTCCATTTTCAGTCAGGAATCACAAAAAAAAAGACGATTGTTTTGGAGATCTCAGACGGCGAGCGGAGGGAGGTTGGGGCAGGTGGAGGCCCTCAACAGCCTGACCCTCTACAACATGAGTCGTTTCTCTTAAATTGTTCGCAATGACAGAAATGCCCCTGAGGGCAGCGCTGCGGAGGTGGGATCCTCTTCGCAACCAGCTTCAAGGGCTCGGGGAGCAAAAGGTGAAAGGTCACGGCTGATAATTGTAACATGATCTTGTAGGAGGTTATCTCCATTCATCGTGAGCACACATGCTGTTTATGCCGGACAAACGTCTCTCTAGGATTTATTTTGTGATTAAGCTGATAGAAATAGTCCATAAACGTCGTATTCGCGGTTTCCCTACATCTATCTTGAACTATTAATGATGTTGCTCCAATAGACATAGCAACAAAGCATGTCTATCGTCACTCATTGTATTTCTTTAGCACACACGTATTACTTTCTAATCCCCACTAGGTGGCGTGCTTTCGGTGTGTCCACATGGATCATTCGGCTGAGAAAACAATGGCCTAATTGTGCGCACAGGGGAATGCTAAACCAATTAATTAGAAAGATGACAGTTAAACCACTATTGCGACTTAAGGGCAGGCAATATAATACTTTATTTCTATACACCTCTGCGTTCTTTAGTCCACCGGATAACTGGCTAACTAGCTGATCAGAAAAGCACCAGTGCTGTTGTGCTGGAAGAACTGTACCGTCGGTGATTATAGTCTTTGCATGCCTGCAGTATGAGCTGGTCAAAAAACAGTAGTTCCTCCAGTAAATTTTAGGTTTTGACAGGAACTCAGGGGGCGTTTCCCTGAACCTCATCCATGCAGTGAGACAACGTTCACTGCAGCCAGATCCGACATTATTTAAGGATTATTTGTTTCATCTCTGCCGCATATAGTCTATCACACGCTAATCATGGGATACTTTTGAAGTTTAAAGTGGTCCTGAGGGGAAAAAATGTGAAACTATAACTAATAGCAGAAATACAACAGGAAGACGCCCAGATTGATGTCACTGGTGATGAAAATAAGGCCAACAAGCAAATACAATGGGTTTTCGTTCGTGCACATGCAATGGAAAGAGACACAGCTAATATCTTTAGCTTGAAACTTAGATTTAAAGACAAAACAATGAGAGTTATTGACTAAAACCTGACTAACTCCCTTGACAGGAAGCTGAAGTCAAACTCCTTTTTGAGACAAAGCCTATGTTTCGTCTCCTGTCTCCTTGATTTCCTGTCTTGCCCTGCAGCACTTCAGTGCCCGATCATGTGATTGAGACACCACATCTGGAACATCAGTCAGCTTTATCCGCCACAGAACCTTATCAGTTGAATGTCTGTGTTTTTTACGGTTGGCCTTTACACTATGGTGCATGTATATCATGTGTACTTTTGCTGCTTTGGCTAATAGCGATTCCTTTTTGTCTGGATTTCTATTGAGACAGAATGAAAGGTCTGAATCAGCTGATTATAAGCAGACATTCGGTACAAACTACAAAATAAGACACCACGGGAAAATGTGAAGCTAAATGCAACTGGTCCAGCCTCATCTTACTAACTAAAGCATGTGACAGGCTGACGGAACGCCACGCGGGTCGGTTTAATTATTTTTCCCAACAACACTAAGAGGATTGTTAACTCAGAAACAAATGCCTGTGACGAGACTCGCACAACGCAGCTAACAACACTGAGAAGGGACGGGAAACAGCCTCACCGATTTGATCTGGGATTATTTTTCACATGTCGTGGCAACACGTGACATCCGTGCCAAGAAGCCCCCCCCCCCCCCCCCCCCCCCCCCCTCCTTCCTCTAGTGCTTCATGCAAATGATATGCAACAATTGTGGTCTTACAATGTCACTTTTCATCTGAAATGTACGGCTATCACATCATTGGATTTAACTTTGACTTTATGTTCGTGCATTCACAGTACATAATATTCGGGAGCGATTCAACATCGTTCCAAAAGTCAAGCCGGTGACGTCTGAAAACGTTTGGGAGTCGACAACCGCACCGCATGAAGACTGCAATTGGTGGTCAGGCTGTGGGCTCCTATGACTTCTTCCCTTCAGCAGTCATTCACACAGAGTTTACAGCTGTTTCAATTCAAAATGATAGATTTCAGATTCTTCCGCTGATGTAACTAAACTCCAGCAGTAATGACAGGTCATTACGTGAAGAGCATAAGCCATAATTCACTTCTACCAAAGTCTACTTGCCCCTGATTTGGCCCATCTTGAGAACCAATAGCTGCAGTGTTGAACCTCCGTGGAGGCCGTCTGCATGCTAAGAGACTTGGAGTGTCCTTTTTCTAATTAGCCGAAGAGAATGACCGCAGAATCCGCTGAATGAGGCTCTTTCATGGAAATACTGAGCGGACTGCACGCCTCCTTCCCAGCTGATGATGGGACAGGATGGAAAATACTCAAATGAAAATGGAGCCCACTCTGCTCCACGGACAAAAATCCGTCTTGACATTTCCTCTCACACGCTCTCAGTAACTTTTTATTTGTGTATTAGAATGTATGTCACCACTAATGGTTTCCAAAAGGACTGCATATATAGATACTAGAATACTTTGAAAAAATACTAACAACTGAGAGTACAAATTTAAAAGACCTTCATGGTGGATGTAAAAATTAAAATCCCAAAGGCAACAGAGGCAACTCGGACACCTGAATCCCTTCAACAAGTGACCTACTGGTCTGGCAGTGCGCTCCCTCGAAGCCGGGCTGGCACTTGCAGACGTACTCGTTGAACACGTCTCCTCGCCTGGTCGGAGCGACAATCTTGCACGACCCATCGTTCTTGCAGGGGTTGGGACTGCAGGGTCCTGAGAAAGACGCAAGAAGGAAAACAAACGGTTTCAAAGCGTCCGATGCAACTGTTTTTTTGTTGTTGTTTTTTGCCTCCAGAAAGCTTCCACTTTGCCGCACCGGTCTCTGTCAGGTTGCAGGTGTCTCCGGCGAAGCCATCCGTGCAGATGCAGATGAACGGATCCTCGCCGATCCCCGTCACACACGTTCCTCCGTTGTGGCAGACATTCACCTGGCAGTAGTCCCCTGAGAATACGAGAGGAACAGGGAATTATAAGATCACTTCAACATCCAGTAAAAGTACGTCCGACTGCACCCCTACTGACTCATCAATTTGATGATTTTTTTGATTTTTAACTTAAGTAGCTACAGTGAATCAGACAAAATATGTTGCGGCTTTGCAACTTTTCAATTGCTGGCCTGTGAATGTGGAAACGTTAAAAAACCCAGAAGAACCCAAGTACTATAGATCAACACTCCAAAATAGAATAACCTCCATTCCCAATCATTCCTTCACACCCATCCCACAATAACCCTGATGACATCACCAGGGATTTCCCAATATCACTCCCTGTGAGGAGAAATGGGAACGTGATGTATATGTGAATATTAAAAGTGATGGTAAATTGTTGAGTTTTAAAAGTTAAAATCTGATCTACTTTGTCTTCGGTGCTGCAGCGTTTGGAAAAGCAATGGTTGTTGCAGCTTTGGCCCAAAGTGATGAGTCACACATCCTGGCTGGATTAGGGAAATTATGGTGTAGACTTCCAGTGGGAGCGGCACGCCGCAGATTCGTGAGTCACGCTGAAGCTTTGAAATTTACAAAACCCGAACATAATCTTTGATCTTTGTTTTCATTTCTTTTAACCAACCCGTTGAGTCACTATTGATGCCACGTCAGAGTCCTTCCATGTAGAACTGTCTTGTAGAAAATAAGTGAATGCTGCAGACGCAAACGGCCTCTATGGAAAAAATAAAAATAAAAAATACCCCTACAAATGAATGTTGGAATCATATTTGTCTGTCTTTTTCAGCACTGTATTTAAGGAATGATGTCGTTATGAGAACAACTGAAATTTCTTGCACAGATACAAGAATTCATATTTGTTAACGGATAGAACAGATAAAAGGTGTAAACAAATAACACGTTTTCTTTCGCAACTAATCCCGACAGCGCAACGTGTTCGTGTGCAGGATTAAGAGCTTGCGGGATTAGCCCGGTCCGCAGAAGAGAAAGAGCAGTTACACAACCGTGTAACGCTGCATCACCTACGTGGTGGCCCCCCTGACCCCGCCCGCTGGGTAGAAAAGCAAAGCAAAGTAGGCCCTGAATGTAAACAAACGTCATCATCACCATTGTCAGAAGAAGAAGAAGGTCTGCCACATCATTGACAAGGAAAGTCCTCAAATTTGGCAGCGGTTTAAGTGCCGCTGGTACAATCCAGCCTGAAATAAAGTCAGGTGAGTGGCAGCTGGCTCAGACAGACAAACATATGGTGTTCTTTTCCTCTCCACCCGCCCCGCCTCTTCATGTGACCCACAGGGACAACTACACATTTAAATGTAAGATCAAGTGAAATGTTAACAGACCTTTGGCTTGCAGGAAATAACTACATGTCCTTACGGGCCTAAAAAGGTTGTAATAACAGAGCCTCGCGTGTAATAACAGAATAGCCTCACATTTAATGACGCATTCTACAATGACAATAATAAGCTGCATTTTGGAATGAAGGACGTATAAATAACAGATTTAATGTGATATGGAAAAAGGGCACATTGTCATGAGGGACCCTTAAATGTATTTTGTGGTTAACTTTGATGGGGAAATGTACAAAACTGTTGCACATCTCCCTTTCTGTTCATTGAAGCCTTCACTCTTTCCATCACCAGGAGACACCGACACCAAGGATGAAAACAAAAAGAAACTTTATCCTCATCAGTCAGGAAAACGAACAGACCTCTGAACTGAAGGGTGAACTAACTGCATCGACATTATACGTGGGGAAAAGGCACGGAAAATAAGACCAGACTGGACGATCAATCGAACATTTGGAGTAAATAAAGTCCGTCGCTAAAAGGAGAAACCTGTGAGATTCTGCACAACAACATCAACAGACAGCGGCAGTTCTGGATGAACGCGATTAAACTGATTTATGTCGAGCGTTTAAAAAGGACTTACCTCTGACTGAACGCAGGCAAAGTAGAAGAGTTAATGTTGTTAACGTGGCGGTTAATACATTTCCGCGACGTGTCATGGTTGTTTACTCTTGACTCCACGCGGCTGTTTGTTCGCCGAGTTATAAACGTCCGACTGATGCCGCGTTCAAGCGCTGTCCGAAATATCCGAATTCCACAAAGCACCAGACTGAGGTTCGGGATTTTTTCCGGTAATACCCGAGTTAAAGACACGTGACGGTGCATGGGCGGAGAGCTCGGCTGTAAACAGATGGGCGCGGCAACGTTTCCTTGCATAAGCATCCATGGTCGTTCATTGTGCCTCTGTGCTTTATATCTGTATTATTTGGCTAATTTAGAGGTGCCTTGTATTTTCAGTCATTCTTACAAATTGGAAAAAAAAGCTTCATGTTCAATTAAACCATTTTTATTTTGTTGCATTTTATGAATTTCTTTATATTTTAAAAGCAAAAGAAAACCGTCATTAGCCACAGGCTTCGTGCACTTCATTCCGTTTCGTCAACATGAATCTGAAATAAATCTGAAATGGTATATTGCTCATAAACTATATCGATAGAGAAGAGTTGGGACAAAAGCGTATAACGTTGACTGTAAAAAAATAGTCCTGTCGGTTTAATTCGATCCCCGTGGGAAAACTCCGCATTTAACCCTCGCCAACTACTTAGGAAAAACAAATGCATATAAAAATCCTATCCTAACACATCAGGTAAGGCAACAGGTCATACTAGTGTCTGCTGGTGCATACCAGTATATTGAGATCAGCGTGATTATTATGTAACAGGTTCGTGCTCACGCTGCTGTCACGTTCAGGAATTGATTTCAAATATAATGTTTGTGACCCCTTGTGATTTCCATGAATATAAAACGTACAGTATGAAAGGGTCATGAAAATGGATACTCAATGACCAAACACCACAAACGATGATATAAATGACATTGTAATGTCTCACAGATAAGGGGCGTGGAAAAGTTCCACGAGCGCTACGTCATCGTCCCTTTCTGACCAATGAGTGAGTCGCTGTGAGAGAGCCGCAGTTGCTGCTTCGGACCGAGTGGCTGCCGTCGGCTCTGTGAATTAGAGTGCGTACTACACACCCAGGAGCTAACGCTGTGGATTAAAGCCAAGCGGACCATCACAAACAAACGACATGCTGCGAGAGTCCAGAAAGGAATAAGCCCGTCGCGTTTGAGCAGCAGGGAGCGCAGTAATTCCTCAACTCAAAAGGCGGTGAGCAGGTTTTGTTAGAGATGCTTCTTCCGTTAACGTTAATGCTCAGATGATGCTAGCTAGCTTAGCTTACTTGATAAGATCGATAGCGGTATTTAAACGGCCGTTATGCACCACCGTTAATGACCCCCGTCATCCTCTGCCTGTTAAAATAGGAAATACCACCGGCGATTAAGACGGAAAAATGGGGCTAACGCTGCTGCTTTCCACCCGTCCTCATTGTGAAGTTACTGCGCCAAATATTCAGGCTGACCGGCCAACTCGTCCACACGGCGACACGGTTTTCATTTTCCGGACCAGTAGGGCGAGAGAAGATGCGGCGGCGATTGTTGGCCTGCTCTCAGCCAAACGTAACGCAAACGTACAGGTTAATTTCTCCCTCTTTCTTTATTTTTTAATATTCCATCTCTTTCTACAGAAAGTAGCCTATTTATACGCCTCTCTTCGCTGTGTCAGCTGGCCGCCAGTCTGTATAAAAGTCCTCTCCGGCTTGTTGTTGTTGTTGTTGTGACTCGTGACAATGGAGCTTAAATGTTAGCCAGCTGATCTGACGCCTCGTCGGGTCCCATGTGAGGGGTGGGAGGGACACTCCGCGTGGGTCGTAATAAACCCACTTTGTCTCTTCCAGACAGATGCGCGAGGCGGATAATTCTGGCCCCCGCGTTCGGTTGGAGACCTGCTAACAGGTGGTGCTCACGTGGATCCGTTACAGAGACCACTCCTTTTTTATTGACAAGAACATGGAATAAGTATAAAGCAGTCGAGGCGTCATAATTTAGGGAGACGTGGAAGGTGATATGGTTTAATTACTGTGGTCGAAAGTCCATCTCATCCCCCGTGTTTGTGTTTAGGTCTCACCGTGTCACTGTGACTTCACCGCTTCACGTTTTCGAACCAGGGTTCTTTTTTGGAGGATAACTTCAACATAAAACGTAAGTTACAGTACAAAAACGTTCTATTTTGTTGTGTAACATTATGTGGTATTTAACGTTTGAAGCCACACAGTTTGTTTATATGTTAATAGTATTTAGCTACGTCATTTGAATCCTTCGTATTTGTATGGAATCCTGTAACTCAACTTCCATTTTTTGTGGTGGCCTTTCTGAGAACTTGACACCTGTTTTGTCACAGCCGTGTGATTACTTCCCTTAATGCTTTGAAAATAAAAAAATATATAATATGTTAAGGTATAACTATGTTGGTGCATTAGAATTGAACAAATTTGTGTAGTGTGGCAGATTTATTTGAATTAATGTTGTGAGACCTCCTTCGGACACTCCGTAAGCTGTAATGTAATTAAGGCGAGTTTATTAAATAAGAGAATGTGCTTTATCTGAACCAGCCGCTCTCCATATTCACTCAGAATCTGTTGCGGTTTCGGCACCAGGAGGAATATTTAGGTCAGGCAGAATCATGTTTTTGCTCACAATAATAATTGGTATTCTCAAGTTAATATTTAAATAATGAAAGGCTGAATAAAACCTATTTTTAAAATGCATCTCTCAATTCTTCAGCTGCATATTTGTTCATGTATTTACCTCTAAAATTGTGTTTCACACGAGAAAGCACTGCATTAAGTGTCGAACACTGTTGTGTCTTTTTTTTCCAGAATAATCATGAGCATCCACGAGTCCGAGGTGCACACCATCTCTCCAGAGCTGCCAGCAATGTTCGACGGCGTGAAGCTGGCGGCGGTCGCCACGGTGCTCTACATCCTCGTCCGCTGCTTGAACCTCAAGAGCCCCACTGCACCGCCGGACCTCACGTACCAGGACACCGCCCTGAACCGCTTCCTCCTCAAGTCCTGCCCTCAGCTGACCAAAGAGTGAGTTACATTCTCGGCGCTCTGTCTGTCGCTCAAACGCGTTTCCATGGAGACGGCACCGCTCGCCAGCCATCTGTGGCTGTGAGCGGAGGTAGCAGTTGGCCTGGCGGTGGTCCCATCTGTCATTAGTTTTCCCGAGTGTTTTTCTTTCTACCAGAGACTTCTGGCGTTACCGTCAGCTACCGTCATGAATTAAACACCAGGCTCTATTTTCGGGATTATCCCAAAGGTAGAATGGGTCGTCACACTAACAAATATAGACTCGTTTACTGCAGGGCACGCGCATTTGCATTTATGAAGATGCAAGTCTCCCCGTCAGGCAACTCCGACGCCTACTTTCATTTCAATATTATATCTAGGTTTATAAAAACTGATGCAAACCAGTGGTTGTTGAGGCAGAGGCAGACAGGCTTCCTTGTGTGCGCTAAACTGGGTTAACAGCTGGTCTCTAACGTCCTGTGTGTTGGGATAAACCCTCCGCCTGCCAGCAAACAGTCCACTTGATTGTTTTCCCTGGAGGAGCATCGCTGTCCATGTCCTGTGGTCTGCTGGTGTCTCACTACTTCCAGCTCTGCGGGGCGGCTCTGTTCAAGGCTTCATCACGAGTGTCCGCTTACATAACCGACGTGTTACGGAGCCGCTTGGCGCTCCATCTGTCCGGTGTCGGTGAATCGTAAGGCCGCGCGGATGTTTACGCTTGCAACTGGCTTGTTGTCGTTCCCTCTTGAACCTCCATATTTTGCTTACAGAAATGTCCACGAATAGATAAGTTGCCGTCTGCATCACCCGCGTTGTGTCTCTGTGTTTTTTAGGAGTCACGTTTGCGACCCTGGTGTGTTGTGTAACAAAGATCAATTCCGCAGTGGAACACATAGGACGGGTGTTGTGAGATTAACAGAATTTTTGTTTGTTTGGGTAAGTGAACGCTGGCTCACACAGATGTTGATCGGGAACAAACAACTTTCTCTTAAAGAACATCTTGTTGTTGGCTTGATTTTCTTTTCAGCTACAGGAACTTACTTCCCTTCAGTAGTTTAAATTGTCAAAGAAAGACTAGTGGTTTGAAACTAGGTGACTTACATTTGACCTTTTATGTTAAAGCAGCTGTGATGAGACAATCAGCCAATAGTTATTCTGCCTTTTGTTTAATCTGGTAATGGTCAAACGGTAACAAAAAAAGGAGCAATTAAGCTCTTTCAATTCTATTTAGAGAAGCACATAATTAGGAACAGCCATTTATCTTAATATTTACCGGTAGCTTTTGGTACTTCGCAGCATGTTACTTTTAAAGGCCTGTGACTATTGCTTCTGGACTTTAAAGTGGCCTTGAGATCAAACCACAGTACTGCACCTGTTTCTATTTCCGTTGCCTATTAGATCTAAAGAAAAAACATCACACATCCCTCTTCTTCACCGCTTCAAAAAGGCAGACTGAAATTCTAACAAAAACCTCACCATAATCAATCATAAAAAGAATAAAAATGACACAACAACACATCAATAACAATTGTCAATGATCAGTAGAACACAAGCTGCATATCTTTCACCAATAAGTGGAACTGTGTTTTGAGTATTTTGGCCTAATTGTTGTTGTTTTTTTTCAAACTATATTGATGAAGAGGAGTTTTGCATTTAAAGTTGTCTGGGAATCTGGAATCCGGAACATTTATTGCCAAAGTATATTAGACATTAGACAGGGCGGGTGGTGCATAACATTGGACTCTGCTAACCTGGCGCTGTGCTTATCCTATCCACATTACAACAACGAGGTCATCCCTTCATAGATTAAACCTGCAGAGGACCTTCCAGAAAACTCAGGTTAATCCTCAAATTGTGGCGCATGCTGGAAGTGATTAGTCTTTTACCAAATGGAAGTCTTACTGCTCTTTGATTGACAGCTCCAATTGGTGTGAGGCACAGCAAGAGATGAGGCAACCTGAGGTTGAAAGGTTTTGTGTAATTATTGATGTCACAGAATCCGTTGCTGCTTGTTGGTCTTCTTGCATCCAGTTAGAAGTGTAACTTACACAGCACTCGCATAGCAACAGACTGACGTTGGGAGCATGAAGCAATCTTCTGAAAGCTGCTACAGAAATGTGCCTTTGTAATGCAAAAGCAATGTACCAGGATGGTCACATGTGTGCCATGAACCACCGATGCAAATGCATCTGCTGAGGATGAGATCGGGTTGATTCTATTTCTGGACAGTAACCGTATGCTTTTATCGAGTGCAATAACAAAATGAGCTCGTATTTATACCTCAAATCTAATTGTGTGTTTCCCAGGTACATTCCTCCCCTGCTGTGGGGAAAAAGCGGTCACCTCCAGACGGCGCTGTATGGTAAACTTGGCCGGGTGAGCTCTCCTCACCCAAGTGGTGTCAGGAAGTTCCTACCCATGCAGGACGGGGCCACTGCGACCTTTGACCTCTTTGAGCCACAAGGGGACCATAGAACAGGAGGTGATACTTTTACTACACAGAGCAATCTCACATATTTGTATATCGTAATCTCTTCTTGTCCTATTGTAATTGTTTTTCTACTTTGAAGACTTTGCCTTTGTTTTGTTTGTGGAGCTGCTATGTTCCTTTTTAAATGTAATAATCTGTTGTCTGGCTCACGTCGCTCTGATTCCATCTTTCTGTTTGACCAGATGACATCACCATGGTGATATGCCCTGGTATCGGCAACCATAGCGAGAAGCATTACATCCGAACCTTTGTGGATCACGCCCAGAAGGACGGCTACCGCTGTTCTGTGCTGAACCACCTGGGAGCTCTTCCCAACATCGAGCTGACCTCTCCGCGCATGTTTACTTACGGTGAGGCCAACCAGCTGACTCACTCAGGAGTGTCAAGGAAAGATAAACTTGCTTGTCAGATGGAATAAAGGGACAATCTGAGTATTAAGAAGATGTAAAACAATATATATATATATATATATATATATATAATATTAAGGTAAAAGCTTAAAGGTGAAGAGTGAACATACAGCTCCTTCATAAAGAGATTTAAGGCCTCGGCTTATTTCAGAGGTCTGAAAGAGACGTACATCTACTGCTGAGTTAAAGGCACCTTCGCTTGGAACTGCTGAGCAGCGGGAAAAAACGTGCGTATTGATTTGTAACCGTTTCCCTCACAGGGTGCACGTGGGAGTTTGCGGCCATGGTCGGCTACATCAAGCGGATGTATCCGCAGACCCAGCTGATGGTGGTGGGCTTCAGTCTGGGAGGAAACATCGTTTGTAAGTTCCTGGGCGAGAACCGGATGAACCAGGAGCGAGTGCTGTGTTGTGTCAGCGTGTGTCAGGGGTACAGCGCTCTCAGGTGGGTTGTTTTCCCTCTCCTCCTATGATTAAAAGGCTTCGCATCATCAAAGCACCCTTTCTGCGACACACGCATTTCTAAATATAAATGAGGCTCGGCACAATAACACGGAATGAGTCGTGGTGGCAAAATTTAGTCTACCAGTCTATGCTCCTCTACAGCTTTTTTGTCATTTAGCCGTTTTATTTACTTTGAGCTTCAGTTACACAGCCTGTCTTTTCTAAAACTGTCATTTAGAACATTTTGAATGCGTTCCTGCGCGGAAGGTTTTTGTGTTTTCAGGCTGTTTATTCTGCATCCTGGTTCTTTGCCTAAATCCCCTTCACTGAACGTCATGTCCAGAGTACACATTCGGTGCACATCGGTGAACAACGCAGAACAAACCAATGTTTACTGGGGGTTGTTTTTGCACCACTAGTGTGTGTGTGTGGGTGTTAGATCCACACCTGCACCTACATGCAGCCAGCGCCTTTTGGCAGGCCTGACAGGCCGGGTTTGTTACTTTTGATGCCTGCAGTGGGGAAAGGGTGTGCGTCGTAGAGAGCAACCTTTTGTTAATTGGTTCCCTTTCTAATGAATGCTCTGCTTTTAAATCAGTGTTGAAACCGAAGCCGCTCTGTCAGCGTTCCTCGAGCGCTGTGGCTGCTCCTCTTATGCACAAATAATGTGTGGTTACGAATGCATACCCTTTTATTATTTTAATCGACGTATCCGACCACAAATGCGAATGAAACGCTTAAAGGAAAATAAGCTTTCTCTCTGTTGGTCGGTTATTTGTTAAGTGTCCTTCCTTGCGGTGTTTGATTATGTGCGTGTCGATGAGCTGCATGCTAATGGTGGACACCACCATTGCTTCTCTCCGCTAGGCTCTTTGTCCCGTGGATTACACAGCGCGTGTGGTGTGTTCTTTGGAATGCAGGCAGTCTGCACAAAGCTGACTTCCTGTGTGTTTGTCTTTTATCTCAGGGCACAGGAAACATTCCTACAGTGGGACCAGTTCAGGCGTTTCTATAACTTTCTCATGGCTGACAACATGAAGAAAATCATCCTCTCTCACAGGTATCGCACATTTTAGTACCTGCAATAGTTTTTCATTCCTGCAAAGTTATATCCATGTGTTTATTATTGATGTTTGCAAAAAAAAACGGTCATCTGAATCTCACCAATATCACTGTAATGTAAAGTTTCTCACATTTCTAAACGTTGTCAAAATTCCAAATGGAGACTGATAACTATCAATACTGGTATTACTTAAGCAATAAGATAACGTTGTAACCAATAGTGTCACAATTCGCGGGTGTTGTTCCGACGAGCAGCGGAACTGGAGATATTGATTGGACGCCATTACATCCTGTTTCCTTCTCCTTTCTTTTCTTCATTTCTATTAATATCACTTAAAAACAAATAAAAACACAAGGTTCAGCCATTGATTTTCTTTGCACTCGTAGTTGAGTAATTGACTGCTCACTGCCTCGGTGGTGATTCCTACAAATGTGTGATGAATAATGTTTGTGTGTTACAGGCACAGTCTTTTCGGGGGAAACCCGATCAAAGCAAAAGAACTAGATCTCGGCCGTCTGTACACGGCGACATCCCTCATGCAGATTGACGACAACATCATGAGGTATGTGGAGGGCAAATGATTTGAAACTTTTGAGTCTTCCACTAAAGTTCATTCACTTGTCAATGGTGAGAATGTTTTTTTTTTCAGTGGGATTATTTAATGACGCTTCCTGTTTGTTTCAACAGAAAATTCCACGGCCACAGCTCTCTCAAGGAGTACTACGAGAAGGAGAGTTGTGTAAATTACATCCAGAACGTAAGAACTTTGCCCCTCAACTCGCATTACACATCTCTATTGATTCCTTTTTTCTTTTTGTTGTCGCATTTGTAAAATGCATGACTGTTTTTGTTCCAGGTAAACGTGCCCCTGCTGCTAGTGAACTCTGCAGATGACCCTCTGGTTCATGACTCACTGCTCACAATCCCTCGCGCACTCGCAGGTAATTAACTGAACGTGCCTCAGCAGCAGTACAAAACTTTAACCACGTGCCCCCTAGTACTAAAATCTACACTCAGATTCCCGGGGATCTTTTGCTGCCCATTTATTTGCTTAAAACGAATGACCTTGAGGGAGACTCTGTTGTCCAGAGGAACTTTGACCTCTTTGGATGGCAGAACGATTGGCTTGAACAAGTTGTGGCACAGAGGTCAATTCTGAGTAATGTCTCACACACACACACACACACACACACACACACACACACACACACACACACACACACACACACACACACACACACACACACACACACACACACACACACATTATCCCTCTACCTCTCTGTTTAAAGGGAGTTAGATTCTTCCACAGGTTCCCAACATTAATGGTTCCTCTCCTGGAATAAATTGTGAATGTTATGTGTCTTCGTCATTTACCGACATGAAGAGGCTCCTTCCGTCTCCTCAGCCTGTACCATATTTAAACTTCCTGGCCCCGTAAACTATTTTAGGAAAGGGGAAATTGTGTGTGTGTGTGTGTGTGTGTGTGTGTGTTGGGGGCAGTTATTTGGGGTGAGTGGGTGGAGTTAGTGGGGTGTATAAGTCCGGACTGGAAGTACATGGGACTCTAGAAAGCAACACAGACTGAAATAAGGATCGGCTGCCCTTTGCTCTAAAATGCACAGTGACTCAGACGTGAGTCTGGCAGGGAGGGACGAAGCAGAAATACACCCGCTGTAATTACTGGGGAATGAATACATTTGACGATGACAGTTAACAGGGTTCTGTTAAGGCCGTGATATTTGATTTTAAATGCTTTAGTCTCCTTATGATTTTCCATAAACGGCATTGATGTGTCCCAATGTACGATGAAGTCTAAAGAGGCAACAAGTTTTCTACATTAAAGACAGTTCTTTCTGCACCTTGATGTGCGTACACGTTTGTCTCAAAGGCTTAAACGTCTCCTCGTTTAGTTCGAGCTGGTCTCCAGAACCTTCTGTCTCAACCTGTCCCTCAGCGCTGTCTGGGGCAGTGTCTCCGGGTCTGGACGAGCACTGAAGAATAGTGCGAAAGCCCCACTGGGATCTTAACCACAAGTCAACCGCACCAGGCTACTGCACTGCCCCAGATAGGAGGCGGAGAATGAAGAGATTCCGGCCGCTCCTCTCGCTGCGCCTGGTTGTCCACTTCAGCAGTCTGCAAAGGTTCATGCGCATTCGTTCATGCGAATAAAGCGTTTTGACCGCAGTATGGAGGTGACCTGCCCCGAGGCTAGGGTTTGTTTACTCTGGATTAAATCAAATAAATACGAACAAATTCGACCTTGTAGAAAAACACAGCTGAAATGGACGTGCGTATTACACCTGAACATGTGGATGTGGAGCTTCTCATGGCTGCAGGGATTTGCTCCCATTCGGCCATGAGACCGACAGGGGTCTCCACCACTGAGATCTTTGTAAAATATATATATATATATTTTTTTTTTTGTGTCATTGACATACACGGTGCCCATTAGAGAATGTTTAGTAACTTATCGATCGGTTCAAACCTTCACCTGTAACCGTGCTGCCTCACAGTACCTGCCGGAAGTCGAGTCACCCCTCTATCTGTTTTGACCGTGCAAACACACCCTCACTATCTGCAACAAGCCCACAAAGTTCCACCGGCGCACCCACATGGTGTCGCGCCAGGCGCCTAATCACTGTGCGCTGTTGTGTCGTCCCTCAGCAAAGAAGCCCAACGTCATCTTTTCCCTGACGCTACACGGAGGCCACCTGGGCTTCTTCGAGGGCGCCGTGCTCTTCCCCCAGCCCCTCACCTGGATGGACAAAGTGATTGTGGGCTACGCCAACGCCATGTGCCAGTGGGAGAAACAGAAGCCGCCGTGCCAAAGCAGCCACCTGAGTCCGAGCTCCTGCGCGGAGGAAAAAGCGTAAAAAACCTCTGAACCTTTGCGCCTGTCTCACTCTTCCTCTTCCCGCTTACCCCCCCTCCCCCCCTGCCCCCCCCCTCCCGTCTCCCGACCTACCTGCCTCCGCACTGAGGAGACACCTGGACTGAACCTTAAACTGCTCTCTCTTCTCTGCCTTCTACTCTGGTGCTACTCACCGCCCCCCCGAGCCCCACACATCCCGGTCGAACACGTCCCCGCTCCTTCTCCTCAGTTCCCCTCTGTGGTCGCGATCCCCTCACAGTGTGTGTGTGAGGGGGGGGGACAAAAAAAAAAAAAACTAACTGCCTTTGTGCTCATTTCCGTTTGAGACTTTGACTTCAGGGCAGGGACATTTTGTTTCTTTTCATGCACACAACAATGACCCTTGGCGGGGTTCGACCCAATACGACGAGATGAAGTCAAGTTGGCGTTAAAGAGCAAAGTGAGAGAACCGCTTCAGTTTCGTGAAAACTCCACAGCACACAAGGAGCCTCCTGTTACCGCAATGAAGGGTCGTGCTGCAGTCGGTGCCCATTTAATGCACCTGTGGGAAGCTCACTGCTCGTCACCGCCAAGGCCATGTAGCCTAGTCTGCTGTCTTAACCAACACTGCGTCTTTGTTGTGTGTGCATGTGTGCGCGCGTGATTGTGTGTGTGTGTGTGTGCGCGTGTACGCGCCGAGAGTTAAAGACCCGCGACGGAGCGTGTTGTCTTTGTTTTGGTAGTTTGTGATCCGATTTCCTGCCGTGTTCTATTGTCCGTACTGTTTTGGGTGGGCTGTTGATTTAATTTCTTTTGTAGACAATGTACATTAGAAAAGTGTTAAGTATAATGGTGGGATTCGACGCATTATTTCCAGCTCATCACAGCCCCTTGGCACCTGCTCATTGCAGACGTGCCATGCACATTCCCACCGTCGCATTTCATCACTTTGATTCAGTGCACTTTATCCTGTGTGACACAATCTTGTCTTTCTTTCTGTGTTCATTGTTCACTTTTCTCCCCACTAGCCAAAGTGCGTGTAAGGAGATTGTTGACGGTTTTAGCTCCCCTCGTGACCGAGAGGACGGCCTGTAGGGAGCGAGGATGATAACGGACCGTTAGGTGACTCGTGGTTCCCCGTGTCGTCTCTTGAGCCCTCTTACTCTTTCGTCTGCCTTTGATCAGCTGCGGGTCCGGCCCGAGACCCGCGATATCCTTCTCGTCCTGCACTCTTTGTCGGTGCCCTTTTGTGTTTCCCGGCCGGTGATTCTGTGGCGCGGGCCGATTGGGCCTGTTGGGCAGAAAGTTCAGTGTGAGTGAGAACATCTGCGCTGGGAGGTGCGATGAGTAGGAGGACCGGCGACGCTAAACCAAATGTTTTATTTAGTAGATTGTTCGTACTACTGGTAACTCTAAAAGTGATTGTTGTATTGTTTGATTTAGATGGTGAAAACGACGTGTCAGTAGTGACAGACTTTATTTTGGGGGGGTTTGTTGCTTTGATGAGCTTTTCCGCTTCACTTTCATTGTGACGGAACGTTTGTTGATATCGATCTGAAACGCGTCTCTATGAAATCATGCAATAATGTTGATCTGTGGACTTTACACAACCTGCATCTAATCCAGATTATTTTGCAAACCTTGTTTAAGGGCTTAGGGAGCTTCTTCCAAGGCAAAGTCCAGCCAAGTCATTTGAACACTGTGATGAGACAGATGGACGGTTTGAACAACAAAGGGACAGACCGTGATTGAAAGCAGCACATCTTGTAAAGCTTTTAAGGCCAAAGTTTTCTCTTATAAGATGTTGGTTTCAACGCGTTTGAAAGTAGCGCTTCATATTCCTCTTTGTGTCCGTTACTCACAACGTTTGGACTTTTGACCTGGGAAATAGTAATTCGGGTTCTGTAGTAAACAACCAGCAGTAATCAAAGCGGTTGTTCTTTGGCTCGAAGACAATCTCTTAATTTGTTGTTTATTTGTGTGTATTTCAAGTTAAGCTCCCATCTGGGAAGCCCAAGCTGTAGAGCAACAGTGTTTTGTTTGTGGGGGAATTATTAGCAGAAATGCAATATAATATTCACATATAATATTTCGATTTTAGGCGTTTTCCCCACCTTTATAATGAGCCTTCATACCTACAGTTCACAACGGGACCGCCACGTTGCCCCCTGCTGTGTTCCTGCTGTCGCCCAGAACCGACTAATTCCATTGGATTGCAGCCACGCCACTCAATGCCGCCAACTACACACTTTTTAATGTCACTAATGCTGACTTTGGGATTAACCGATCAGAATCGAATCCCTCTGAACTCTATCTGCTAATACGAAGCACCGATCCGGTTCCATGTGCTCACATTTCAGATCGGTGCACCGCAACCTTTAACATGAGAGCAGTCGGTCTGCAGCCTGAAGAAGTAGTAACACTACGTTATAAGCATATTGATAACGAGAAGGGAATCTTACATGAAAGGGAAAATGAAATAATGCGACTAACTGGTTCTTCCTCGGTACATATAGTTCTCCTTTTCCCCAACTTTCATTCAGATTTGGCAAAAGGTTTTTATGACATCCTACCAAACCAAAATCATATTCAACTAGTGACCTACTGGCAGATACCTGATGTCCTTTTTAAGTGTTTGCATCTTAAATGTAGATCAGAAACACTGTCGTCTGTCTCAGCCACCATCCTTTTTTTTTTGTTGTTGCTCATCTTGCACCGTTCAAACTACAAATCCCTGCAGCCGCCTGTTGTCCGGGAGACCAAACTAACACAGCTAACACCCTGTGATTCATCCGCCGTGAGATTATTGTCCTGTTCAGCTCTCGTTTCAACAGAACCAGCTGTGGTTTGGGTTTTTTCTGGCTCTTAATAAGAATCCGATGAATATTAATGACACCAGCACAAACGCAGCTTATGCAGTGAGAGCCATTTGTGTTCTTTTTTAGGACGTTTGCCTCCCCCCCAACTTTGCACAAAAATGCAGGTTTGGATGTATTATTTGGATGTATTTCTTTGTATTTTGTACTCTTTTTATGACTATTTTTCTTCGTTTGTGCAAATGCATCAGAGTGAGTGTGTTGAGTAAACATACGGTCGATGTATACTGTCACCGCTCTGATTGATAAAAACCAAAACTTCTTCACTTTAACAATTAAAAAAAGAAGCTAAAGAAATATATAAACATAGTGTATATTATAATATTTGAGGGAACAGGTGTGGAAAAACAAAGGCAATAACCAGGAGGGATTGTCTTATCAATTCAAGGTGACCTGATATAGTGTCAAATTCTGATCTTCTCTGAGTGGGATCTGAAATGTTTTACTGTGTAGATTTGAGAACGTGCTCCTGTGTATTTAACTTGGCCTCGGGGCTTCAAGCGTCTTGTTTTGTTTTCTTTTTATTAAACATTGTGGGCTCGTGTTTGGGAACTGGAGAATTCAGAGAATTCAAATATACTTTAAATGTCGATGAATCCAGTTGCGTCTTGGATGAACATTACTCAGTGTTGTGTTCTTTTGAAGATGTTTTTTTTTTTTTTAATTATTATTTGAAACCGTATCAGCCCAAGTGGATGAGAGCCCACAGTAAGTTAACCAACAGTAACCGTTGTTCAATTTTAGTTTAACATTTACAAACATTTTGATGCTTAGAGTTTGTTAAGGGACGTGACGCGCAGGAGAAGACGGGGCGAACAGTCACACGGCGTGACGTACTCTCATATTGAACACTGGGTGTTTTTGTGGAAGAAAACCAGTGGTGTGTGTGATCTACTTATGTGAGGAAATATGGTTATTGTGTTCCAAAATAAATTATTTTCTCAAAAGAAAATGTTTCTTTGTCTTTGATTTTTATAACATTCTGTTGAATAAGCTGTTATTTGGTTAATGTGAAGGTTCATAACTTTGCAGTTTGTGGATAAGATGTATTCACTTATAATACAGTTGAGCCCCCTTGTGGTGATCATTTCCTTAGTAAAAGTACAAATATTGTTTTCTAAAAGCTTAGGTGTGTATATAGAGTATAAGCAAAATGAACTATAAGTAGTAAAGAGTATGTTATCCATGACATGTTATTATGACGTGAGGTTTGAATGCTGTTGCATCAATGTGTAAGCTGCATTTTAGTTGTTTGAATTGGAACTGATTTAACTTCTTTAGCATTTCCTTATTTTAGTCCAGTGGTTCCAAACTTCTTACTTCACTTATTTCATGTTACTCTAGACATTATTTTAAAATGTTAACTAAATATAATTCTAAAGCTAGCAGTATAAAATGTAATTAGTTTGCCCCGCTTTCAACAACAAAGTAGAAATTGTGCTTTTATAAAAATAAATATATCAGATTCTTTTGTATCTTAAGTATACTATCTGATGTGTGTACTTTTGCAAAGTATTATTTTAAATGTAGGACTTTTACTTGTAGGAAAGTATTTCTGCTGCGTGGTGCTTTTTCTCCACAGGATTATTCCCATGGTGACTTAAATCTGCCTAATTCAAACCTGATAACAAACCTGATCTTTTGGGTTAACTGTTAGTCTTTTGTTCGAAAAAATGAAATGACAAGAAGACAAATGATAAGAATTACAATTCATACAAAACTATGGATGAACAAAAAAAAAACAATTTAATCCAGTGCAAATTGCCCAATGGAATCTGTCTTACATGACACACTGCTCCTAAAACAAGCTTCTCCCTCTTAACATCTCCCTAAACCCCTGAGACAGAAACGCCTGTGCTCTCATTCTACCAAATCAACTGGCAAAAGGCTGCTATGTGCGGTGGAGAATTACATTTTAAGGCAAATAATGCCAAACTGACACATTATCTACTCTCACTTTCCCTCTGCTTGTAAAGTGACAAGACATATCAGCGCGTTGAAGAAACACACTTTAACCACCAATAATTCTCTTTCTACCCTCTAAACACCCTTTTTTATCATTTTCCACCCATCCCCTGCTCCGTACTTATTTTTGCTTGTAACAACTGGCCGAATAAAAACACAATCTAGATAAAAAATAGACCGGATCTTAAGTATCTACGGTGAAAGACACTAGAACTTGGGTCGGAGATGGCTCTACTTTCAGAGAGCAGTGTCCTCAGAGCCAAAAAGCTTGGTGGCGATGGCCTGACAGTCTGCAACGGACGCCTTTCCGTCGAAATCTTCCGGCAGGAAGTCCGCGTCAAATTCTTTGAAGTAGTTGATCAGCTCGTCCCCGTGGACAAAGACCTGAGGGGAAGTTGGGAAGGATAAATCATTTTAATTCATTACTTTTTGATTATGTTAAAGGGTTGCCAGTCCTCTATTCATACCCTCTCCAGCAGCTTGCTCTTCATGAAGGGTTTGACCACGTTGTACGTGGTGGTGAAGTACCAGGGCTGGTGGGTAACGTGGACGGCCTTGAAGCGGGCGGGAAAGGAGTCCTGCACGAAACCACACAAGAGATTTCAGATTCCCTGCAAAATTACTACAACGTTATGTGCTTTCTCTTGGGTGAAAGCCCTCTACCACTCAAAGTTTCCCTGCGGCACATTCAAAATTCCCAATCTTTTCATTTGCGTTCTCGCCTGCAGCATGTCGACCATCTTCTTGAGCTCAGCGGGTTTGATTCCTGAGGCGTGCTGCATGGTGAAGCCCTTGAAATTCTCAATCAGGACGAAGCCGTTGATCTGGGTTTCTTCGTTCTCCAGCAATTTCTCCAGGATCACGCAGTACGCTCTCAGGATCTGCGACGCACAAAGACTTACGTTTTCTAACAAATTCCTCAGAAAACCTCGCAGCCCTCTTTGAGACGGCGCCGTGGTACCTCGTCGAACGTGATCTCCTCCAGGTCCCAGTTTTCGATGTTGAAGAGCAGCACCACGCGGCCGTATTTGTCCCTGCTGGGCAGAACCACGGGGTACCCGGCCTCGATGGTGCTGCGGACGGCCTCCGGGGTCAGGTTCTCAAAGAGCTCGGGGTACTCCTTCCTGAACCGCACGTAACCTAGACGACACGCAACACACATTTTGGTTGAACAATCATAACCTTAAATCAAGTCTTTAATCTAAAATGTAATGGTTTACGTTATTTGGACTTTTCCATATTGTCCCGCCAAAAAGACAAGTCCCCAAATTGTAACTGTGTGTCTCACTTATGTCCCCACAATAAGGGTAAAACAAGCGCACACACACACACACACACTACTAAGGGATCAGCTGCATTCTCTTTTGGAGCTCTAATGGTTCCCAAACCCTTTGTCCACAGTGCGAGAGTTCAGTGCAGGTTGATGTGCCGAACACAATGACCCCAGTGTGCATCGACAGTGCAGCTCTGAGCCTCATCATACCCACGCTCCAATTAACCCAGTGTGTGTGTGTGTGTGTGTGTGTGTGTGTGTGTGTTTTCACCAGCAAGCCGCAATTAACCCCCCAAAAAAACAGTTCCCGTTCACATCACATTCCCCTCTCACACTAATAAGTGCTGCTTTTCTATGTTCATAAATGTGTGTGTCAAGGCCAATTAAACTGGTTGGGTATAATTGGCCTTGACAAAGTAAATTGTGGGTTATATTTGACCTTGAGAAAATCAAAGCAGTGGTTACAGTTGACATCTACAGGAGAAGTACACTGTTAAGTTCAGATTTAAGGGAAATGGGAGCTTCAAATGCTGGTTATTTGTCCGATTGAAGGTTACGGAGCACACAAGCAAACATCAGGCAAGTCGTGTCAGTTTGGTGTTGTCTCTCATGCTTAATGTCATCTCCTCTCCCACGTGAGCGCTGGAGCTCGCGGGAGAACGCGGTGAGTTCACGAACAAAGTAAACTCGTCCCATTTGGACACAAAGGAGGGCTTTGTCTAAAACTCAGAAGCATCGCCAAGCCCCCAACTAATGACCGCACGCCGCCCCGTCTCATTGATGGGGAAGATTCATGCAAACCAGGAGCACAAAAGAAAGAGGTCTCCCCCTCAATCGACGGAGCCCCTGGAAAAAAACCTCGCGTTCAACCGTTTGTCTCTCTACCGCAGGAAGTAAATCCGTCGCCGACTACCAACCCTTCATGAGCTCGTGCGCTCTGACGACCTCAAACTTGCGAGCTCTGAGGAAGCGCAGCATCAGAGAGTCTGGTTTCTCTCCAAACTGGTCCAGCACCAGTTTGGCCAGATCGTCCCCCTCCGCCGCTCTCTCCTTCATCGCGGCCCGCAGCTCCTTCAGGGCCGACGCCCGCCTCTCATCCGTCTCAGTCAGCTCATCCTTCGCCTGCGGAGCAGACGGGGGTCCGGGGGGGGGGGGGCAAAGAGTATTCTTATTTGAAATTCATTCCTAAATGCTGCCCTCCAGTTGTTATCGTCTCACCTTCTGCACGGCGTGTCCGGGCAGCTTCTGGCACGGCCCAAACACCGGCCCGTGATCCTTCACTGTCAAATGCTCCAGCTTGGACCTCATGGCCTGCTCCTCCTCTGACACCATACGGAAAGATCCAGTCTGCATAGAGGAGAGAAGCCTTTTTAATTTGTTTTGTCGATCTTCGAGACAACGAAATCCCTTTTTGCATCAATATTTTAAGCCTCCGTGGCCGCAGCTTTGGAAACAACAATTGTTTTTTACTAGCCCGAATACTTCAATGGCAGCTCATTACAAACGACTCTTGGGCTGTGAACCCACAACCCAATCAGACTCCCAGCGATGCACACCAGTGAACGGCCGCTTAATCTGCTTCACATGATTACAGAACAGACTTCTAAGGCCCTCGAAAAAAGAAAAAAAAACAGCTTAAGGGTCCATCCAAGAGCCAGCATCCACTGGCTCAACACGAGCTCTGTGACTGTGACAGTGAAGTGAGGCCGCACACACACACACACACACACACACACAACAGAGGCAAAATGTTGCGCCGTTGTTGAACTCACAGCAGCCATGGTTGGACGTCTCCCGACAGCTTCGCAGACACCGGGAAGGAAGAAGAATCGGCACAAACAGAACATGAGCGCATGAAGCCGTTTGTTATGCGCGTACAGGGCTCAGAAATGCATTCATCCGGTTTGTGTCCTGCATTACGACAATAAACACCAACGCTGTAGCATGTGGGATATGGAACAGTTTTGGGGGCGGGTTATGAGGCAAAAAAGAAAAATGATCTTTTGGATCAGTGAATCATTTTTTACTCCTCGGTGGAGCAGACGTGCTCTCAGCACAGAGACAGTGCATGACCTCATCTGGACTGAGGGTTGTTACTCGTGTTTTAATGTTACATTTCAACCACGGAGCCGAGCACAATGTGGTTAGCTCTGTGACACAACACTGCACTGCTGCGACGCAACTCATATGTATAAATACCGTCAGCACAGCGATCAGGGGTCTCAATCACGACAGTGCTTTTGTAAACATGGACGCTTACGTCTGTGACGTGAGTTTAACGGTAATGAAAGGCCCGCGCTGATACTATAACCAATATCCGACGTAGTGCGTCGAAAGTGTTACAGATGAAGCTATCCAAACCATTCAAATGAATTAAAAACAAAAACAAACAGTTATTTGGCCAAATAATCTTAATTTAGTGGCATGAAGCCAAACACTGATATTTATATTAGTTGACATTAAATCTTAAGGTGTAAGACTTGTTCCCCATTACGAATGAAATAGAGGGTCTTAATCAAACATCTGTCATCTCTTACAACAAGTATTGTTTTGTTGATTACTTATCGTCGCATGATATAAAACCAACATCCTCGCGATGTCTCGCCCTCGTTCATCTCTATTTCCTGAGCTACGTTGGGTTCTTTGATTCAAAGGAGAGACGCCTTACCTTCAAGCACGCGGGATGAGAGGAGCAGACGGAGTGGCAGAGGAGGCGGCGAGAGGAGAGGGGATCAAGAGGGGAGGAGTTATTCGAAAAAAACGTCACTCAAAGCAGGATTCTAATGACAAAGTGGATTACGATGGGGGGCTAATCTACACCATGCAACATGCAACGGGATGGGGGCAGGAGAGGTGTGCAGGTCCAGGCCGTCGGGGTTACGGAGGGAGGGGGGTCCTGAGGAGCAAAGACGTTACAGAGAACGCGTCAAACACTTTCATTTAGAAGCACATGCATGGGGGGAATATTTAACACATGACCGCAACACAAACCAGCCGCAAAAACGGAAAAGAAAATAGGAAAACACAACTAGTACTAGTGTGTTTTGCACCTGTGGACCGATCATCTCACTAAATATCCATCTAGGAACAACAGCAGATGCCGACATAAATTAAAGCGAAATAAATAAATGAGAAGATGCATTTTTTTTTTAGGGGATTCTTTATCTTTGTTTATGTCTACCTCTTCAACTTCACATCACACTGACGGGACCGTCCACCCAGATCATGTGACATGTAAGGTGACCTTTGAGTCTTTTTTGAGTCTTGAGAGACGACCAGCTGTGAAGCTCTCACCCTCTCACCCTCCACGCTGCACATTCCTCTCTGCACATTCTCCCAAATCCTCCCGCTTGTTTTGACACCCGCGTGGTGGATTACTTACGTGGTTCCTTGTCGTGCACAGAGAGGGACATGCAGTAGTAGACTGTAAGCTGTTTGACTTCCTCGACATGCTGCTCCTGAGCAACACAGACACATTGTTTAATGCCGCCTCTGTGACAATGAGAAAGAGTAAGACATCACAATACTTGCCCATCCTCCAGTGCCAGTTAATAGTTACTTTAGTGAAAGATTGTGTTTGCTGATGGGCCATCTGCCCTTTAACCTTTTTTTTTTTTTTAAAGAGAGCTTTTAAGAGATGTGCAAAAGGAGCAACCGAGTAGAGCCTGCCACTAAAAAGCAGAGCTCGAGTGGTCCGAGGGTAGGACGTAACCTGCATTGTGTCTGAGAGAGCAAAAAGGGGGAGAATACCGCTGAGTGGCCTAGCTGAGCGGATAGAAGAGGCTCCCCTCCTCACACCGAGGCCTCTCTCCTCCTAAACCGGCCAAAGGAACTCCACTGTGTACTGTTGTTCCTCTACCAGCGCAACAACCTCCGATATCCTATAAAATGTCTGCAGGTCGCTGTTCAGTTGTGTCTCCATCGTTTCACACCTGCGCTCTTTCCCTCTGGTCAAAATATCTCCTGTGAAAGTAAATGAGTAAATCTTGATGCAGACTTGTGTGAAGGAACAGTGTTCGCGGGGAGGGAGAGGCTCAACACTGCTCCCCTCTGGCTCCTTTTCTCTGCTGCAACGTTGAACCACGCGGAAGCAAATCCTCAGAAACGTCAGCAGCAGCTTATTCTGTAATATGTTTTCTTTGGATTAGAAACGGAGGAAGAGGAACTAAAACGTGTGAATAGGCCCGCTGGCACTAGAACATAATGAAGGATCCCCCTGCATTCTACCCCCGATCATTACCTTTGATAACTTTAGATTACCACTCCATTCATGATTAGTTTTTCTAAAGTGTTCATATTTCTAACAAACTAAAAACACGTTTAATCTATATTACTATATTACTGGGATGTTTTGGTACACCATTAACATGTAATACATATTTTACATGTGTATATTCAAATTGTATTATCACATTTTGAAACATTTTTACTATACAGCTTTATTATATTGTTCAAGTATTCATATATTATCCCAGAAAGAGTAAATTGAAGATATGAAAATCCATCCATCTTCAAACTGCTTATCCTGCACACAGGATCAATAATCACAAGGACCAAAACAATAAATGTAGTTTTCCTTGACAGTTTGTTTTTTACGCTGTACAAACAAATTAGTATTTTTACACATGAAATGCAACTGTTTATGTTCTAACAAAAAAACAACAACAACACAGATGTGAAACAGTGGTTCTTCACAAGTGTTGATTAGGTGACTTTTAACATGCTAAATAACATTCATGACATAATGTTATATCATCGGCACTTTTATTTTGCTGTGTAAGTTTTTGTGGCAAGAAACTCACAGCGTCGTCCTTTTTATTCTCACATCCTCCGATCACATGACCGACTAAAAGAGGAATTGACTCAGTAGTGACAGTTCATAACTTTAACGTCATACATGGACATGAATAAAAAGAAATTGAGTGTCAGTGGGCAAAATCAATGTAGCCCATGTAAAGTAATGCGGTGTCTTCCTGGATTTGATTCTAGACACAAACACAAGAATGTGCAAGTAAAATACAATAAATTGTCAGTTAGCGGAATTAATGATTTATCTTTTCTTCTCTTTTCTTTATATTTAAAGCTCATCAACGTGTCCACAACGATGAGAAAACTAAAAAAAAACCTTTACTTACAGAAAGAGTTTCAATAAAGCAGCCCGTTGTTTGCATTTTTAGACAAAATGGACACGGTTGAAACTAAATGGATTAAATTAGCGAGAAAAAAAAACGTATAGGGAAATTGTATATAAATAAATAGCTCATATTTTCATCATCATTGCACCTCCTCTCTGTTATTCGGGTATGTAACCTCATAAGGCATCAGGGAGTCAGTTTACAATAGACTGGTTTACTGGACAAATATATTATGTGTTGATATTTGAAGAGTAAAAGGACCCAAATAGAAACTAGATCTAAAATGTCAGGGTTCACCAAATGGACCTGGGTCAGAGGAAACATCACGTTAAGTTAAGAACCATCCAGCAGAGTCTGAAGTAAAGATATGAAACACTTCAACAATGTGTGTTGGAATTACTTTCAAGTAAAATGTAGATATGAATCTGGTGGTAATGACTTCTTGTTTCCAGTGGATTCCTCTTACAGGCTTCTTTCTTTCACATGTTGCAATACAAAGCTAGTGATGAATCAGAACACCACTTTGTTCCCCTGCGCCACTTTCAGTCTTTCAACACACTAATCGACGCGGTTCCTCTTTACATCAACACATCGTGAGAGGAAATGATTCAGCGCAAATTGTCCCGACTCCTTTATGCATTTTTAAAACAATATTAAAAAACGATACTACATCCACATCTGTTGTCGTGCTCCCTTTAACATTAAAAGCACCAGAGTCGGGTGTAACAGTGCGCAAGCAAACCGATTTCTTCTTTGGTAACGAGGGAACGGTTTGTCTCTCAGCGCGAAAGTGAGCTGCCGGCTGAACGGCGACTCGTCTCAGTCCCAAAGCGTCAGACACGCCATGACGCTGAAGCCCAGCAGGATGAAGAGCACCTTGAGGAGCTGCTTCCCGGGGGAGTTGAGCTCGTGCGGGAGGATCTCCAGAAAGGTGATGTAAATGAAGGTCCCCGCGGCGAGCCCCTCCAGGACGGCCTGGATGAGCGCCCCCGCCGCCAGCTGGGCCTCCATCACGCTGATGCCGATGGCGATGCCTATCGGCGACATCATGGCGAACACGCCGATGTAGGCGGCCACCCACAGCGGGCGCACGGCGCTCTGGACGAGCTTCACCGACAGGCTGAAGACTATGATGCTTTTGTGGACAAGGATGGCGATGCAGATCTCCAACACCTGGCGGAAAACGGCGAGAGAAATACGTAAAAAAACTTCCATAGGAAACAAAACAATAGTAAAAACGTGGATCATTTTGTAGTTTGGGCCAAGTATGTTTGCCATGCTGTTGTTGCCGTGGTAGCCACGTGTTTGATATCTCCAGTCATTTTGAGGTCAATGATGTTGTGCAAAGAGTCCGCTTTATGGTTATGGGTTTTGTCAATGAAGTGCACCGATTTTCAGATGTTTCATTGGCTGGATTATCAAAATTGTATCGATTAAAGAGTTTGAAATTTCATTTTACGTCAAGTAACAACCTATAAAAGGATGTAAAAAATGAAAAAACCCTGTTCTAAAATCTACTACAGCAGAGGATCTTTTAGTATCGCCCACTTAATAATTATTTATAATCAGTTGAGCCCATTGTTCTGTAGGGAAAAGTACCTCAACAGTTCGATGATGTTTATTTAATTCCCACCGAACTCTTCTGCACCTTTAACATCACTCAACGTGGCTTTTATAAATCAGTGTCGGACGGGAAAAAAATACAACCGCTTCATGTATCAAATCAGTCAGAAACTCTCTCTTTTTCCATAAAGTAACTAAATGCAGAAAGCCTTTTTTCTGAAAAGAGAAGAACATTTTCAACAGAGCCAAAGACATCAAATCAACACACAACTGCATGTAGATGAAAAGCCCCCAGGGACCATGGGTGGTATGCTCAGACCGCTTGGGTTGTCTTGTGACCACGAGGTGCAGATCTGATTCTCATGACAGCCGGATTCCTTTCCTGTCTATGAACCTTAAACCCTGCTTTCTTCTGGTCACATGGTTTACTGCAGCGCTTTTCCCGGGCCAAGCGCACGAGCCACAGAGGTCACTTCTAATAAAAGAGTTGAGGGTAAGAGCCGTTTCGTGTCACCTTTGAGTCCGTGCTCTGCAGGCCGATGGCGAGGCCCTCGAAAACCGAGTGGAGCGAGAGGGAGAGGAAGAGCATGAAGGAGCGGAAGGGCGAGTGGGCCTGAAAGTCCACGTGGACGTGGTGGCCGCTGCCCTCCAGGTCGGGGCTGCTTCCGTGGCCGTGGCCGTGGCCGTTCCTGTTGTCCGGGATGAGGGGAGCCCTCTCCTCCCGAGTCCCCCGCATCTCCCGACAGTTCTGCACGACCCTCTCCAGGATGAGGACCATGAAGAAGCCGGCGGCCATGATGAACTCTGCGAGGGGGAAACTGGTCTGTTTGAGACCGACAGGGAGATGAATCAATCAAAAACACTTTGATGTATAATTAATAATAAATGATCCGATAAAACACGTAGATTCGGCACCTTTTTTTTTACTACTTTCTAAAATGGCATATATAGAATTAATAGATTTATTTAAAGCAATATTGACATACATTTACATGACAGAGATACATTACAAAATACAAACAATTGTTTGTAAAAACAGCCTGTGTGTGTGGGATTCATGATTTATCCACACTCTACGTTTGTCCATGTCAATGAACCCATTGTTGGACGTACCTCCACAGACCGAGCGTCCAGCTCAGCCTTTATGTCGGACAGATAATCTGGAATGATGTCGAGGAAACATGCTGCAAGGAAAACCCCGCCGGCGAAGCAGCTGATCAGACTGAGAACTGTGCGGTGGCTGTCTGCAAATGCATAAAAAAAAGACAAACAAGTTACACAGGGGTTTAATTACAAAGGACAAAATGGCATCACGGACAGAGTAAACAAAACCTATTCTTCCAATTGCAGCATTTTTTAAAGTAAATCTGTCTTTTATTCACGGTTCCCTTTGAGCAAAAAAAATCCCTGTAAACAGAGGGATTGATGATAGATGATTCTACACCTCCAACATTTAGAAAAGAAACGCCAATCCTTCCAAAGTAGGAATAATTGTTAATAGATCATGTGACACAGCATGACCACGAAGCACAAAAGTCCAAATGACTCTGCAGGGCACTAAAACGCACGCGCATGTAATGGGGAGAAATGACCGTCACCATCCAGACATCCCTCTCATTCACATTACAACAATCAGTCAATCAATTTACACATTTAGGTTGATTAATGACATTAACAAGATACAGGAATTAGTCAACAGTGTCAGCTCATCGCATTATATGATGATTGCAATCCACCCTTTTTTTGACCACGTTACCACTGTTCTCTTATCAGCGGGTTAATGGTTTCTGAGTCACGGTTGATGACATCATTAGCAGTTCATTGCCTTCACAACACGTACGTTATCGCTACATTGAGGACACGTGACTGCGCGAGACGGACGGCTGGTGAAACGGAAACACTGACGGGATCGGTTACAGCACCAAACCCTACTCGTGCCTTTTAAGCATTTCAGTTTGCTTTGTCTATGTGCAAATTACAGCGCGTCGAAGCCTGAAAATGAATATCGCAGATGAATCAGCGACTTTTCCTTTTCACTTCGGCGTCGGAGTGACAAAGGAACGAGGAGACAAATCCAATTAATACCTTTGATTCATTTCCGGTAATTCGTGTTGAGTTTTCCGACGGATTCAAAGTCCTGACTTCTTTGACAACAGTGAGAGAATGCCACGATAATAACCGCCAGAGTTAACGTTGCCTGGTAATGTTCAAATCGACGTGAACTTACCTGTCCCGTGTGTGTCTCTGAAACATTTGACTCGAGCGGGGATAAATCCAAAAAAAAGAGTCAGGAGCAATAAACCGACCAGAGCGCCAATTTTCACCTGGAGCAAGAAGTCCATGTTGCGGCATAAAAGCTGTCCGTTCAGGACAGAAGTTCGCTGCCTGACTGAGCTAACATTTAATGAGCTACGAGAGGAGCCCGGAGCTTCGCCAACCGACAGGAAGACCAGAGTCCCCCCAGAAAGCAGCGGCGCCCACTGTTGTTATTTACAAGTGTACCACCAGTTCCTACTACGGTGGCCGAGGAGGGCGAAACGCACCCTTCGCGAAACTGTAAACCACAGTGTATACTCGTTGAACTCGTTGAAGAAAGAAAGAAACGTTGTGAAAGAAACTTTAATAACTATATCATAACTTTCGTGTTAATTTAATTATAATTCACCAGAGTTTCTTTCGATACATTATTAGTGAAAACAAGATCACACAGGAGACTAAAACCAAAACAATATTTTCTACCCATACAGATACCTGCACTGTTCATGCTAAATGTCTCTGAACCACAGCACATTCATCTACCGCTTACTTAATATGTATATATAACATTAACAATGTATACATGTAGACGACGTAACTCTGCAGTTTACTTTTTTGACTTCTCCGCACTATGTGCGATAACAACATTTATTTTAATACAATCAAATTTTGCAGTGTTTTATCTTTAATTTTGGGCTACAACAGGAGCCTTGTTTTTTGCAGTACGTAAACAGCACGATACAAATAGGAAATAGAGCATTTATAATAAATCCTCATCGTAAAGACTGAAGAGTGTATTTTTACTAAAACAAAAACACATACATTGCCTTGGATAAATAATAACTTAAATCCTCATTTAATAATCCTTTACTTTGGTGGGGTCATTCGTTTGACTATCTAATAATAATTTTATTAACCAGCGGGTGGCGCCATCTCACCACATTCGCACCCTTTCGCACCACCACCACCAGCGCGCCTGCGACGGGGATTGATGACGACATCTTCATGCGCCGGATATGTTCGCCTCCATCGATCAGAAGCCCCGAATGCTGATGTGTTACAAGGAGCGCTCGCCGCAGGGAGTCTCGTGAGTTTCCTCCCGCGGGTCAGTAACAATAAAACAAGGCAGAGACGCGGCGTCGGGTCGCGGGTCGATGTCAGAGGAAGACACAGCGGAAGAGATCGAATGGCGGTGAGAGAAACGGGACACACGGAGACGGGGACAAGCGACTGACTCACTGCTACGTTCACCGAGACAAGCGAGACCGCCACGCGCTAACATATAAGATACGTGTTGGTGTCTGCTTGTAGGAAGAAAGACTACATTTCTGGATTGTGGATCCAAAAATGTTGAATTTTCTCCCCCTAAACTCCATATTTCACTCCACTGAATCCCCGTTAAGATCTGTCAAAATCCAGCTCATTAGTACTTCTAGTGGCTTTACAGCACTCCCAGGCGGTCGGTCTCACGGCAGCTCCACTTACTCCATTTATTTATATACAAGTTTACAAAATGAGAAAACTTACACAGAACCAACAGAGCAATAGCAACATTAAACAAATAGGCACTGATATGCAACAAAAGTTGAAAATGTAGTTATGCTGCATTTTTGGGAAATAATGGATCACTGAAAAATATCTACAAGAAAAGGTCTAGAACTACAAATTCGTAAAACAAAACTTTAATCTCCATTCTAATAATTAGATACCAATAAAAAACATCTTTAACAGCAATAAAATGTCATCAAATACCATCAGTCTCACGCACACATTTTATTTGATTTATTTTTGATGTTGCATATTAATAGATCTTAAGACATGAACACATAGAATTCTCAAATCTTAACTTTTAGCTGAATAAATACATATTTATTAATCTTCGATATCAAGTTATATTTGCTCCCCACAGCAGGAAGTTTTGTCTATAAAGCCGTTTTGCACTGGTTTTACTCAAAAAGATTTAGTTATTTTTAAGGAGTTGAAGAACAGCACAATCATTTTGTATTTTTACCCCACAGCCCAAAGGGAAGGTCGGCACAAAGGGAAAGAAGCAGATCTATGAGGAGAACGAGGCGACTCTAAAGTTCTACGTCAGAGTCATCCTAGGAGCCAACGTAAGAGCCTCGGCGCTGTTTTTGTGTTTGTACTGTCAAAAGAAACGTCAAACTTTGCGAGGGGATCCCCGTTCTGTTAGTTCACTTGTGTGGTGTTTGTGTTAAAAAATTTTTTAAGTGGATCAAAGGTTGTTTGTTACTTTAAAATAGCACGGTATATGTACCAAAATGACAGATTCCTGCTCATGGGTTTGCACCATCGTCATCAATGGTCTAAAATTACTTGGGATATTACAGATTTTCATTGAAATCATAATATAAAAATTCTACCAATAAGTATTTTCATAATTGATTCATCTTTATAGTATATTTGGGACAAAGGTTTCTTTAGTTGATGAAATAGTAAGGACGGTGAAATGAGTGATTATCATAATCCACCACACTACTACCCCCACTAACATCCCACTCTTATGTCAACCAAACTCACAAATATACTGCTGTTCCTCTGCAGGCAATATATGCTGCCATAAATCTTTTGGTTTTCTACAGTTCGTCTTCGTTTTCGACATGGGTGAGTGCACGTAATCACCATCGCTTAAAGTCTCCATACACCACAAATGTGATGCACCTCCTCCCTCCCCGCCTTTTAACGCCTCGCGCGCCTCCCGCAGCTCCTGCTGGTGTTCGCGCTAGCGGTGTATGTCGGGAGTTACCGCTCCATGTCGGCCATGGCCAAGCCGGCATTTGCCGATGACGGAGGTCTGCTGGACGGAGGGATAGACCTGAACATGGAGCAAGGAATGGCTGAGTAAGTAAACCCCCCCGCCCCCCGCCAGTCCGTGGAGCCGAGGAAGAGGGGCTGACTTTTAATGTCAGTTTTCCAAACTAAAAATCCTACTCGTGGTGCCTTAAATTTCACGGTGCTAAATTGGGAGCTCAGAGGGATTTCTAAAGAGCCTCAACGAGGCGACAGCTGAGCCGGCAGCGCAAACAAAGGCAGCGGCGTTGACAGATCACCGTGTTTACCTGACGGCTGCGAGAGCGACATGCGTGTAAGCGTCTCTGAGCTAACCAGGGGGAACGCGCTCACGTGCGCTAAAAGGCGCGAGGTTACGTAAACAAAGACCTGGAACAGACACAAGAGCCTCTTCATTCTCTGCTCAGGTAGACATTACTCCACGATGCCCCTGCATTGCAAATGTTTGTTTACTGCTGCTTTCTAATGCTATTGAGAAAGTAATTTGTTGTTTTAGGTGTATTTATTTACGTCCAGGAATGGGTTCATTGAAATGTTTTTTTTAACAAGCAGTCTTGTGCTTTGTTAGTCCTCGCTGCAGAGGACAACATTGTCGTCCTGCGTGCACAGCAACATGTCGTTGTTCTTGTGACATTTTATTGTATGTGTCTGGTTTTAGGCACCTTAAGGACGTCATCCTGCTCACAGCCATAGTACAAGTGCTCAGCACCATCTCCTCCTATTTCTGGTATCTCTGGCTGCTGGTGAGACAAAGTCCCTGATCAACCCATAGAGATATCGGAGCATCCTCTGACCGGTTCCTTTCTTCTTGTCTCACAACATCTTGTTTTCTCTCTGTGTGTGTGTGTGTGTGTGTGTGCGTGTGCGCGTGCGTGTGTTAGGCCCCGGCCCGAGCCCTCCACATGCTGTGGGTCAACTTCCTGGGCCCCTGGTTCATGGCAGACACTCCGTCGGCACCGGAGGAAGTGAATGAGAAGAAGCAGAGAAGACAAGAGCGCAGACAGACGAAGAAATTCTGATGCTGCGGGTCAAACGGAGGCAGTATTTTTATACACAGAATCTAATATACAGATAGCAAGGAACTCGTAAGTTATTCAGGAAGACATTTGTTATTAAGTTAAACTCAGTCCAAATCTCATACTGTGGAATCTTCCCATTGCATGTTTGTCTGTTTGTACTGCTTTCTTCTGACATCAAATGTTTGTCCCTCCTCAGCTATTAAATAATGTGTTCCCTGCTTAGATAATGTCACAATCCAAATCCTGTATTCTCATGCAGGGATTTGAGTTTGTTGCTTTTGCACAATCCCGCCGCCCCCAGCAGATTTCCCTTAAGCCCCCGATACTGTCACTACAACGAACGAGGCCGCATGGCCAGCCGAACATACTCTGTCATTGCCCAAATCTCAAAGCCGATTGTGTTTTTCAAATTGATGGAATTCAAGTTTTAATAGATTTTTTTTTTTTTTGCAATAAAAGAAAATACGTCCAGTGTGGAGTTGATCATCACATCGATTTCAAGCATTAATTTATTGCTAACGATCAGTCATGTCTTAAAGTACTGACCCGTATAGTTTACACGCTCACCACAAAGCTAAAATGTGCCTTTTCGTGCCTCAACGAAGTCGATAGTCGAAGAGAAAATTGTTATCTAAGATACTGGTGCACCTGAAATGTTATGTAACAAGTAAAGGGGCTAAAGTAAAGGTCTTAATGTTTGTCAAGTGTACCTTAAAGACCGTGACAGTATGATGTCATCAATGTTTTCGTAGGAACTTCAGTAATTCCATTTTGTGTGTAAAAAAAAAAAAAAAAAAAAAAAAGACGTATAAAAACAAATATAATAAATTCACTCATCCAAATAGAAATGGCTACATTTTTCAACAGGGATACGAGTTTCTTTTTTGCCATTCATTCTGGGGAATAAAGAATGTTCCTTGACAATCTTCAAGCCATGAATGGTGAAGCCTAATTTCTCTTAAAAAACAAGCAGCATGTTATTATTTGGTCATTTTAAATACAGTTTGTGATATTCTAAGACCGATGAATAAAGTGGAACTAAAGATCACACTAAAGATAACTGCTGCCACTAATCAGACAACTTGTGCTTTTTTCAAGTGGCTCTTGGCTCTGCTCACATATTTGAGATTAGAGATTTAAAATTAAACCTGACAAATTAGTTCGTGGACGACAGTTTAATCCCCAAATACGGAAAAAATGACAACCACTTTTCTGTTTCCATCCGGTAAGTTGAGCCCGAGTCCTCAGGAGAACCTTTTTATTTATTGTCAAGTCTGCTAAGTGACGTTACTCCTTCTTTCCAGTGTTGACAGAGCGTATTTAGTGATTATGTCCATGCTCAGACTGCACAGATAGTGAGTGGGCTCCCAAAGCCCAGATAATTGAGGATTTCTCATTGTTGTTTCACCCGAGCTCGGCTCAACAAGCAAAAACCTGCATTCAGTTCGCGGCGATTCAAGAAGAATCGCCGCGATGCTGCAAATCCTGCTAAAAGGAAACAAAGCAGAAACGCATCTGCAAAGTTTGTCTTGATTTAATACGTACAAGAGTCCAAACAACTCTCCCTCACCTAAATGTGTTCTCGTCCTAAAATCCCCCAGAGATTTGTTTCGAAATGACTGCTTTTAACTTTGTAAGCGTCCTGTCCTCCTTCATTCCTGCCGTGTGGTCCTCTACTGTCTCTATTATAGGGTTATAAACAAAGTAACCAAAATGAGAGCAGCACGGCATCCAGTTGTCGGGGCCAATTCCAGATGTGGGCTTTGAGAGGGACCATGTTGCAGTGTAATTAGCACCGGAGCCCTTCTGCCTGTAGTCCCCCCCCCCCCCCCCAAAAAAATCACATAGTTTTGTGTGTCCTGCAGGGAGATACATTTGAGAAGTTACATGTTTGTATGCAGCAATCGTCCACGTAGAAAGCTTTAAAAAAAAAAAAAGGTTTGTTCTGGCTGAGAAAAGGACACGTGAATGCTTTTGTTCTTTCTATCTTAATAGCACGCCGTTGTGTCTGCTGTTGCTTTGAGTGTGCAACACGAAACAGAGAAGTATGTCCCTAAATAACTTGCTGCATGTGAGAGTCCCCGTCTTGCCTCCTGATTTTAGAGAAAAGAAGAAAAAAAAAGTGGGAGAGAAAGGTTCCTGTTTACCACGGCAGTAAAAAAAATTTTTTAAAAAGGGTTCATCCTGACAAGATAGATTGAGGGAGTCGAAGCTTCATTCCATTTTCCAGGCTTTTTGCGCAAAATAAATAAATAAATAGAAAATAAATGCTGAAGTTGACAAAAAGCATCAAGCCTGAGCTCGAGAAGTTGGAAGTGGAGCCTTTAGTCTCGTCGGCTCCAGCAGGACACGTCCCTCACGTTTCAGATCCCTTTACACCCAGACAAAACAGGAAATTGGGGGGCGTTTGGGCAGAAGTCGAGCCTTTGACCCTCGAACCACAGCGCTCCCTGTCTTTGAAGTGAAGCGACAGAATCACCAGCAATTACGTTGGACGCAGAGTGCGTTCCCTTGAACATTAAGCCTCCGCTGTGTCAACAGAATCGGAGCCCTCTGAGTGTTTGGCAGAGCGACGGGCGCCGTCTGCTTGAAGTTTAGGATCTGTGCCGTTTTCTGACTCAAACTAAACTGACCCAAACACCTCTCGCAGGCCGGGCCGCAGCGAAGGACCGGCTGTTATTAGCGGCGGCGCTTTCTCCTTGCGAATAGCACACAAGCAGTACTTTATCCCTTTAAAGAGGACGCCGGCCATGCAGCTCCCAACGTGGCCTTAAAGGGAAGCTGTCAGGAAATCTGTGTGTGTGTGTATGTTTGCGTGTCTGTTTACGTGTGCGAGCATGATCGTCGGTGGGAAACATTCAAACCCCTTTAGAGATCTTCACCTCTGTTTAACATCTGGCTCCGTCTCCAGTCCGGTCGGTCATCTGCTCCTGTTTGCTACCTTAATGTGCCGCAGCCTTTAGCAGATTAATATACCACATTTGTTTATTTCATGGAACTTGCTGCTTTTGGACTGTAGCATCTTTAAAGATGAAGTAGGTACCGCCCTGAAAATAAAGTGCAGCTCTGCTGCCGAAGTGTGATCATCACTGTTACGCTCAGCCTTTTTAGAGGGTCTATAAATATAAGGTGCTACTTGCAAAACACCGACTTTAATTGCATCTTTGCCTGACGAGTACTTACAAAGGGGAACTCCGCCAATCTTACACATTAAAGTCTGTTTTGCAAGTCTGAGGTAGTTTTACTACACGGGAAAGTTACACGGAGCCCTTTGCGGCTCCGGAGGGAGCTGTGTGAAATCTGATGAATTGCCTCATGTGACGGCATCAGTCGGGCACGATGACCACGTGTTTGGAAACTAGATAAAACTTTGCGTGGACTCGGAGAGGAGAGATCCTCATCTCCTCAAACCGTTGAGGCTGCCGGACAAAGACTGTGTTGCTACTATGACGACCAAATCTATACCCAGCAATCAATCGATGGATGAGAATGCAATGCTTCATCGGTTACGTGTTTTCACAGCGTATCAAATGTTTCTGTTGGATGATGCCTTCTGGGACGCATGTCCAGAAGTGACTTACCGGGATACAAATGTGATCTTTCCTTGAATTAAAGCCTAGTAACATATAACATTAAGAAGACAATTTTCAATTTTTCTCCAATTTTTCCCCCCGTATGTCTGCTATCAAACAACAAATAAATTAACATCAAAGCCCCGTAAGCATAAAACACAGTATTCGCCCGTTCTCCAAAAATGGGCTTTAAGACGAAGGCAGTGGCAGTAGGTACTGCACGTTAACATCACGACTCAAACAACCTGAGGGTCTGTTTGTATGGCTCAGCAATCTCTGTTCGGCCTTGTTAGGTCATGGGGTTTCTGCCAAATCCTCCCTGGTAGGATTATGTAATCATAAAGCAAACGCCATGCAGCTGTAATCATAAATAAATACCATAACTGTCAGTGAGAGCTTCGCATTAGGACAATCATCATCTACATGAAGTGCTCCATCTGTGCGTACTTGTATTTGAGGTGTGTTGGTGCAATAACAAATCCGGAGAGGGGCAATGTCTCCAATAAAAGCATAAAGCGCCATAAAATCACAAGCTCCCATCGCTGCACCAACACGCCAGCAGCTGATGTCAATCGTGGGATCCGATGATGAGATGCAACGATTTTGTGGTAAACACACAAATACATACTCTTCCTGGGCACAGCCCACATCAATTCAACCTCCATTCATTACTTTGTTTGTGCTTTTAAAAAAAAAAAAGAAAAGAAAAAAAAAGCTCCTGCGTGAGGGAGCGCAGCCATTAGCTGCAGTGGTGGCGCCACTGACCGCATGGCTGAACCAGGATCACTGAGGGACCGGCTCCGTCGTACCGGCTTCCCTTCCTCTTCCTTTGTTTTCATCTAATTTCCTTCCTCATTTTCTCAGATACTGTCCCCCCTCCTCCTCCTCCTCCTCCTCCTCCTCCTCCACCCTTTAGGAAGTCTAAACAAAATACAATACTGTGAAAGTAAACAAACGCACAGATATCGTGTCCTTTAGCCTTGGCCCTTACCAAAACCAGACCCAGCGTCAGGAGGATCCCAGGGCCGGGTTTGGGTTTGTGCTTTGCCAAAAGAAGCTGCAACACGGCCCGAGTGGAACTCCATGTGGTTTGTGACACTTGTACTATTTGACTTTGCAGACCGTGTTGAATCAGAAAGAAACAAGATGGTACAAAAATGTTTCGGTTGCCTCAGAAAAACCTGAAACATTTGAAACTGATTTACATCAGCTCTTAAATCCTGAGCTCACACGTTCCGACCTCTACCGCCATCATATGATCGTGAACACGGACCAATGGGTCTGGGGCACACTGGCATGTGATTACAATGTTCTGGATACTAGGTCATACGGGGACCTGCACCTTCTCTTAGATGAACACTCAGCGTTTTAAACAGTCTTCATTGGTGCACATGAACACTTAAATAATCTGAAATGTGTCTTCCATGCAGCACCTATCAACACCCGCTAGTTAACTTGGAGTAATGCCTGCATTAACATTAATGAGCTTTTACACAGCCCTTGTGTCCCCCTTCTCCACATTTTCACCCCCCCCCCCTCCTCACCTCATGCTATTAGACCTATAATGGAAGTCTAGATTAATGGTTAATTTCCAGGAAACCCCTGTGTTCTGTCATAAAGTGCTTTCCATTAATTAGCGACCCTGTTTCTCAGAACGGGAGAGCAGAAGAGTGATTAATGAGCAAACCAGTGCAGCCAGCGGCTCGCCTAGCTCCAGTGGCGAGCGTGAGAAGAGTCGGACCGGCGAGGAGAGGGAAAGAAAATAAATATGTGGCCCTAGAAGAAGAAGAAGAAAAAAAAATGCATGGAAATTCATTGAAAGGGTAGCTGAGTGCAGTTTCAAAGGGGTTGTGGAACATTAGAGCTGAACTGGAAGAGAGAGAGAGAGGCTTGATTACGCCCTCTGTGGTGCCAGAGGTCCAGCAGACGGGGAAGGGTGTGTGCTGCTCAGCTGAGAACTGTTATTGGGAGAGCGGCCCAGGCGACTTCTTGACTGCCCTTTCTCTCTGAAGGTGTAGGGTTTATTCTCCCGAGGGCCGAGATGAGACTCTGCAGAAGAACTTGGCTCTGAGAAACATGCAGGCTGACCGTTCTGGGAATATGCAACGCGATTCAACTTTGCATCCTCAGAGGAATAACAAACAAAAATAACATGTCCGACTCATCGCGCAAACGCGCTCACCCCAGTTCAACGTTGGGTTTCAGCTTTGAGCGAATGAGCAATGAATTAAGCTTATTAAGCGTTTTTTTATTGGAAACGTGCATTATTTAAACGTGACGGTTTGCCTTATGCTAAGTTAACCTGCTGCTAGCTGTACATTAACATTTAAAGTACTAGCTTGACAATTTGGGAAATACGTTTATTGGCTTTCTTGCAGAAGAGTGAATACGTTTTTTTGTTATATTTGTTATTTACATACGAAGCTACTGTCCGAACACTTTTTGTTGGATCAGTAAAAAAAGCCAAATCCAAGTAATAAGTGAGCTAGTATACTCCAGCCTTTATGCTAAGCTAACGCTACCGGCTGCTAAGCTAACGCTACCGGCTGCTAGCTGAAACTCGGTAGCGAACGGAACATAAAAATTGCTTGTTGATCTTCTCATCTAAGTCTCTGCAAGAAAGGGAATACTTGCAGTTCCCAAATTGTTAAACCATTCCTGAGGATTTGCTCCAAAACAGATGAACGTTTCAGCCGGCTGACGTCACGCTGACGTGGCGGTATTTCTGTGCGGGGATCCTCACGGACGCCAGATTAAGACGGCGGCCTGGCACAAGTCCAAAAGGTACGGCAACACATTATCCCCGGCACCGCTGCGTGTTTTGATAAGCAGGCCTCCTGCTCTCTCTCTCTCTCTCTCTCTCTCTCTCTCTCCCCCGCGCCGGCCTGTACGGGGGCAGCGGGAGCGTTTGTGCGTGCACCAATGTTTATGTGGAGCTCGGCGGGGGCACCGCAGCGTCTCTGGTCCAGAGGAGGGCCATTAGGGGAGCGATGAAGCCGATGACATGTTGTTCCTGTGACGGGCCGCCGGGCCCCAGACTGCTCTGCGTGGGAGCCCGCGGGTCTGCCGCCGGGCCGACACAAAGACGCAGGCTGGCTGAGTTTATTTTGGGAGGTGGTTTGGTGCCGGACACCCTGTCTGCTCTCCCGCCAACCTTCATACACCACCGACCCCCCCCCCCCCCCCCCCCTCTCTCCCCTCTTACAACACTCACAACACACACACACACACACACACACACACCTTATCGCCAGCACAGACACACACAACCCGGAGGCGATTACGTGGCGTCAGTAACAATTGCTGAACTCACAAAGAATAAAAAACAGTTTTTTTAATCATCTGTCTCCGATCCAGTTCAGTTGAAGTAAAAATCATTTTGATCATAGTGCTCAGAACTTTTAAAGCTTCTAAAAGAACCTTCCTGTTTTTTTGTGACATTTTACCGCTTTTTAACACTCAAATCCGTCAGGTGACCTTTGATCCCTAATTATCTAATAATCTTTTTAAATGTATAAAATGCTACTTTAAAAAAATCTATTGAACGCATAAAAATGTTCATTTCTGTCAAATAAAAGATATATATTTTCTTCTTCTACTTTCCTTCTGCTGCTTATCATCTCTATTTTGTTTAAGTAATCAATGTGCAAAAAACAGTAATAATGAGTGAAGTGTAATTCAATGACCATGTGGCTGCACAGACCACTTTTTTGTCAAGTGATAATAACCAGTATCCGTCCGTTCAGCCGGCCAGTTTGTCCTTTCCATATTTTAGTGCTGCAGACAGTTGTCTGACTATTGATTGAGGACTCAGGTCATTTGAGAAAGCTTTATTCTCATTGTCTCTGATGTAATTACACTTCCAATGTCCAATGAGGCTGCGGGCCATACAGAGAAGTTAATAATATAGATGTATTGCACTTGGTCTCCGTGTACATTAGCCAATCCATATGCACACGGCGCTTTCATTGCAGACTTGGAAGGAACTGGTTTTGTCCATCAATGCATTCCATAGATTAATGCCACCATGTCCCACACTGGGTGACGTCAGTTAATGTCATTGCTGCTGTTAATGTCACCTGGTTTTACAGTTGAATTTATATCACATGTATATCTTAGGCCAATATGAAGAAAAGCAGATTCTAAAGGTTTTTAATTGTCATTGCCTGCTCTTGTGAGTGTCATAAATATCATGATATTTGGAAAAGATTGTCTTTTAAAGTACTACCCAGAAAGGTATCAATAGAATAATTATTTGTATTATAAAATGCATGCAAACGTTTGTTTTACGCAAAACATATGGTGATAAAAAATCCCGTGTTTCCACTTTGACAGCTTCATGTGTAACTCAGTGTTGAGTATTAGGAATGTATGTTACACCCACTTTGATTTATGTGCTCGACCCGGCCGATGTCATAAACCCCATATGGCTTTTCTTTTCTTCTCGTGTTAAAATATGTGTATTCATTTTTTTAACGGATAAAAAGGATCTTTATTGTTTTAAAAATCAATAAATGTCCATCTGTGAGCAGTGGTGTTTATGTAGCCACTGAAACGTTCAACTGTGGACGAAGCTCTTCCAAAACACTTCCCACTCTGCTTCTGATTGAGTTACACTGGGAAACACATTTTAAACAGGTGCCCACTGCAGCCACACACACACACACACACACGCACACACAGACTCTCACACACACACAAACGCACACACAGACACACACACACACTCACACGGCTCTCCTCTTTTTCCTCGACTCTCTCCTGTCACTGTAACTTGACTCGGACGTGTTCAGCAGCCCCCGTCTTCCCTCGCATACCCCAGTAGAGGCCTGGTCCTCGTACTCCGCACCCATACTGAAACTGACACTCGGGGGGGGGGGAACTCTACTGATACGAGGTGTGACCCCCCCCCCACCCCTCCCTCCCCGGGGACGCTGCTGGACGAAACCCGCTGTCGTAACATCCACTTGAACCAACGCTTTCAGAGGTGTTAAGATGCAACTCTAGAGCTGCCACAGAGACGGGCGGCGTAAGGGCTGGTGTGAAGCCACATGGGGATACCCCAAACTCCGCTTTAGGCCTCCTTTACCCCCGCTATAGCGCCGCTGTACCCCTCCTTACCCACGCCATATCCACTCCTTTACCCCGCTATACTCCCGCTTTACCCCTCCTAACCCATGCTTTACCCCTCCTTTACCCCCGCTTTACCCCCACTATACGCACGCTTTATCCCGCTATACCCGCGCTTTTTCCTGCTATACCTCCGCATTACCCCTCCTTTACCTCCGCTTTAGCCCCACTTTACCCATGCTGTACCCCCCTCCTTTACCCCGCTTTACCCCCACTATATTCACGCTTTACCCCTCCTTTACCCCCACGCTTTACCCCTCCTTTACCCCCGCTTTAGCCCCACTTTACCCACGCTGTACCCCCCTCCTAACCCACGCTTTACCCTGCTATACCCCCACTATACCCACGCTTTACCCCGCTATACCCGCGCCTTTTCCTGCTATACCCCCGCATTACCCCTCCTTTACCCCGCTATGCCCATGCTTTACCCACGCTTTACTCCCGCTTTACAGCGGGCTTCAAGTAATATAAAAAACGCGTCTCTCGTCGGAGCCTTTGTCACGTTTATGCAACATGGCGGCCTGCGAGAAGAGGACCCGCTAACATTATTACGGATTCGGTATTGTGACCCGAAGCAATTTCAACCCTAACGCCTAAACCCTGACCAATCTAAGCATCGAGTACCAGCTGATCTCTGGCGGCGAATGTGAATTCAGTGACCCACTCCCTACGTACATGTGAAGAGGTCATTTTGAGCTAACAGAAGTATTAACATGTGCACAGTACGTACACCTGAGCCTTTACCTTCATTTATGTTTTCAAATAACTTTACTGAATGGTCTTAGTCCGTATTATTGCCCTCATTTCATTGTGGTATTGTGATTAATTAATGCACACTTTATTCAAATGTGTTTAACGATAATACAACTATAGCTACTCATTGTAATAATCAATAACATTCAGGAGGTATTGTAGTATCACCTTATATTAAATACTTCATGGTTTAAAAGCTCAGTTTTTCACCATCATTGAGTATGGAATATTTTTACATTGTAAAGCGGGTGAAGCGGACAACTTCATTATTAATTAGCTAAACATATTTATTTTATTTATTTTTAGGCTATTTAACATAATAACAATAATATTTACATGTGATGTAAAGGCAATAAAACAAATACCATATGTTGATTCCATCATCTATCAAATACAGTCCAGAACTATTTGGACTTAAGCTGTTATTTTTATTTGAAAACATATATTCACCCGTGATCATTGTGCTTTCCTCTGTGAAGTCCACCCTGCAGAGCGTTTCCACTTTGGGCAGAGCAGGATGTTGCGTCTTTAGGAGTTAAGAGTTAAGAAACTTGAAACCTATCGTGTTTGCGCAACAATCAGTTCGGCTCCCAGCCGCCAAAGTGTCTAGACTGGCACATGATGGCGGGAATCAACCAATGGCTCCACAGCTTTCCTCTGGGGCCCCGAGAGAGAGAGAGACAGAGAGAGCGAGAGAGAGAGAGGGGGGAGTCAATTCCTGTCGAAATACAGGCTCGGTGTTTTAGGTTTCAAAATAAAAGCATCATGTTTGGAAACTAAAAATGGAATGTTGAAATTGAAAAACAGCATTATTTTTCAATATTCCGAATGAATACTTATAATATGAATAAAATAAAACGTTATGTAGAGCTAGTCTTTCCAGGACACTGAAAGCAAACTAAAATAATGTGAAATGTTATGAATTCAGCCATAACATGGGAAACAGTAACCTAAACAGATCCTCTGCTCCTTTTAAAGTTACTTCCTTTGTGTTTTTTGCAGTTTCAGTCTTAATGGTGTGGCTTTTAGAATATGTAGATTGACATAGGCTTTGGGAATCACACAATAAATAAATCAAATGTTTTGACATACATCTTAAGTATTGTTTCTTGTAATTCTCATCCACAAATTTGCCCACCACGTTCACCGTTAATACTTTTATTTTGAAAATCTTCGTCAAACAACCCGTCTTCCACTCTGTTCAGCTTGACGCAGCGGCCGCGTGTGTGCATGTGGCTACGTGTGTGCGCGCGCGTGTGTGTTTACGTGTGTGCGCGTCCGACGGAGACTCGCAGGGGAGTGGAGAGCCGGAGTAATTCCAGGTCTCTTTAAAACAACTTCTCCGCACGGAATCCGGAGTTTGGCGCTGGAGTCCCCGGACTGCTTCTGCTTTTCTACCCCGAGACTCTGCAAGCGGGATTGTTGCTTTCGACCACAGCGACAGAAACCCACCGGGACTTCGGTGCTGCGGGGATTTAATTTGCAGCGACGGAAGGATCGTCCGCGGCTCAAGAGGTCCACGAAGCCTCAAGTGGAAACTCTGGAAAACTTTTTGGATTAACGTCTCCGATGCTCGTCTGTGTTCGCGTGAAGTGATGCGGCCCCTGCAGACGTCCAGCTATGGTTTGTAGATTGTGTGCGGGATTCTCGGAGTGCTACTGGCGAGTTGAGGACTTTGTGCGAGGGCTGCCACTAGTTGCGGCTTAATTAAGTTGGCGACGGCGGGTCGCCGCGCAGTGGCTGCGTGAAGTGCCTTCTCGTGCGGACAGTCCGGTGATGTTTAACGCAACGCGTGATTGAAATCCCTTCTCTGATGCTTCGGGAGAGCCAGAAAACGGTGACCACCGGCCGCGCATGTGGCGCGCACCGTGCACAACCCCGCGGTCCTGCGCGTCGAGCGTAAATCGATGTGGCATCTCCCGAGACCCGGACGGGACCGACAGGGCAAAACCAAAACTGTCTAGGTTGTCGTATGTTCAAGTCGAAACGCTCAGGTCTTGTACGGCGACTCTGGAGAAGCCGTCTGGTCACCGAGAGCGACGGACGGGATGGAGGCAGACGAGGTGAGGAAGGACGGAACGGCCCGTGTGGCAGACACTCAGGAAAGCTGCGCAGACACGAGCAGCGGTCGGTGACGCACACCGACCCGGCGCCGGGACCCACGGGGGAGGCTGGAGACCTCGCGGAGAGCGCCGAGAGGGAGGAAGAGGAGGAGGAGGAGGAGGAGCAGCAGCCGGAGGATGACCGGGGCGCCATGTGCACCCCGGAGCAGAGAGGCTCCCGGCGGGGACAGCAGGGCGACGCCAGGACGGTGACGTGTTGTTTGTTTGGGGAATGGGATCTCAGAGCCCGCAGCCCTTATTGGGCCCCGAGTAAAGACGCAGGGGGCGCTTGCCAGTGCGCGCCGAGGCACGCGGCGCTGGAGGAGGAACTCGCGAGCACCGCTCATGGTTTTTTGAAAAGACTCAAGGAGAGATCTCTGGATACCTTGGTGAAGGCTGTGGAGACCAAAGGAGGGATACCCAGCGAGTGCGTCATGGTGCCCAGCACCGAGCTGCGGCTCGGGGCGCATCACATCCCTCCTCAGTGGCTCGTGTCCAAGGTGTACCGATGGAGCGACCTGCCGCTCTCCGCCCGGCTCAAAACGCTGGGCCAGTGTCAGAGCTTCGGCGCAGTCGACGGCGCAAAGGTGTGCTGCAATCCTTATCACTACAGCCGCTTATGTGGACCAGGTAAGGACATCACCATTGAGGAGGAGGAGGAGCGGTGCTTTAAATCAGACATTTCCCTTCAGAAAATAACACATTATATAATATTTCTATTATGACATTATTATATTTGCAGCGTAAATATGAATGCGCCAGCATGGAATTAATGTGAATTTCCAATCGGTCACAGTGTTGTTTGCCTGCAGCCTGAACCTTTGTAGTTATATAAAAGTCACAATGACGAGCAAAGACACTTTAGTGGTTCCCGATGAAGCCATCTGACATTTTATAACAATAATATAATACAGCACACTGTGTACAAATGAAACCCCTGCCAGTAAATATCCTGTGTCACTGTCTGCATGCATGCATGCGCTGCAGCTTTATTACATTCTCATAACTCCGGCCTTTTAGTTTGGTCAACAATTACTTTCATTTCCCCTCCACATTCAACACACATTCCACATTCATTTAAATTTGCACAAAACTTTGATGCTTCCCACATCATCCAATTGAAGGTCGCTCTCAAGTTGCACTTAGGCTCTTTCTTTTTTCTTTTTTTTTTTCTTTCTCTCTTACAAGGAGGTCGTCCTCTTGTTATTTAGGTGAAGGAGTGCCGATAATATACAGTTTGCATAGTGCTGGCGCCAGACTGACGCGCTGGGTATCTGACTGAGGACTCCAGCAATTACTGCCTGTGCTCTTAAAGGGGCCGCAGCCACAAACCCGCGTCCACTTTGGACCCGGAGGGACTCTCCCAGCAGCATTTGCTGGCAGTTTCCAGTGCTGCTTTCACATAGGAGAGAAGTCCCCGGAGACAACTGGGCTGAAAACTTTATGACGAAGTCGTCAAAGCAAAAGCGCAAACTGAACACACTGAGAATGGAATATAGCTCCTTTAAAATAATGAACAGACAGGGTGAGATGCCTGCAGGTCCAGGTTGTATTTTCTTTTTTTTTTAAATAGAGAGACTGCACATGATTACAGTGTTGCAATCATGCAGTCACTGCAGAAAGCTCCTTAGATCTGTTTCTGAAGGTGGCCTATAAATCCAAACAGTGATATTACCTCAGGACAAACAACATGTGAGGAGGTACTCCATACATTATCATTAGCTGTAAGAAACAGGTGGGCTTAATGGTCTCCCTGAAGAGAAGAGGCTTTGTATGTTGCGTCAGTTCATCCACTCTAAAGATGGGGTCTATGTACTCTTGTGCATTATATCATTTGAAGACGTTTTTTTTTTTTGTAACATTCTTCTTGATTGAGGGTTATTAGAGCTGTGTTTTCAGAATAAAACCCTGTTATCGTGGATGGTTGGTTATTGTGCATATAGTGCATGATGCATTAAACTAAATATTCAATTGTAAGCATTTCACTTTAATCAAAAGTTCGAACAGTAAAGCTTTGGCGTTTTCGATGGTTCCATAAGACCGCGTGAGGAGATCACCTCAGTACTTTTCTTCATCCGCTGACCATTTAACTAAAAGACCGTATACCGCCTTCAAATTAAAGTGAACTTTTGTGTGTATTTGCAGATTCACCTCCTCCCCCCTACTCTCTGTCCCGTGTGGATGAACACAAGCCACTGGGTGAGTTTGGAGAAACGCTCCCGACATTGCAAACCAGTAAAATGACACAGAGGGTGTCGTCACCATCATATTTTTAGACTGGAAACACAAGATTATCTTTGAAAAGCTGCTTGTGTTGAAAGCGACGCAGAATTAGTTGAGTCTTATCTGTGCTCATCTCCCCGTTTGAAGAGCCTGACATCTAGAGTTTATAATAGGGAGGCTGTGTTTGTGCAGACACACAGTCTGAGAGACTTATTAAGGCGGCGACCAATACTTGTCTTCATTATTCATTCATTAAACGCCACGTAATTCAAGGTGGCCTTCAAATAGTCTTTTCCCCTCCGATCCACGGAGCTGTAAGTCAAAATAAATGAGTCAAAAATAGGAATCGACCGGCAAAAACAATTGCTCACTCTTCTCCTGTTTGTTTGTGCCTCTTCTTCCACGAACCGCCAGACTCGACTCTGTCTTACACTGAAACCGTGCCCCCCCTCCCGCCCGCTCCGCCTCACGTTACGCCAAGAGACTACACAGGTGAGTTGACATGCAGCGTCGCTGCAGATGCACGCAGATGTTGTGTTGTTCTCCCCTTGAAGAAGTCCGACCCCCTTTCGGGCACCAAAAGAGAAAGCGTAGCGTGCGTCCTGTAAATCACCTTAACCGCTGTTGTTGCGTTGCGCTTTCCTTCCTACTTTCAAAGGCGGTTAAGACAAGCAAAAGCTGCAGCGCATAAAGCTTCTATTGTCAGAGAGGCATAGGGGGGCTCGGTGGGGGTCCGGGGGTCTCTCGCTATCTAGATGCCACAGCAGTGTAGCCTTTCTCTCTCTCTCTCTCTTTCCCAATGCCTTCTCCACGAGCAAAATATTTCCCTGGGATGAAGCTGCAATAAGATCCCCGCGCATACTCCCCAATCCCCCCCCCCCCCGCCCCCCTTTTGCCTCACGAAGCCACCCCATCCCCCCTCTTTCCCTCTTTCTTCCCTCAAATCCCTCCATTCCTCTCGGCAATTGAGCAGTGGAAAGAGGCTGGCATTTTTGGGGGCGGGGGGAGCCGAGCGGCTCTGATGAGGCGGAGGTGTAGAGTTTTTGTGTGCGTGTATATGTGGAAAGAGGCCGAGAGGGGGGGGGGGGCTGCGTTGGGACAGGAAACAGCCCCCTCTAGATGATGAAACTGGAGCTTTATTTGTTTACGTGCCGGGGTCGGGTGGAGACGTCCTCGTAGCGTTAGAAGAAACCCACAAACCCACTCGATCAAGCCTCCCCGGGCTCGCTTGCGGACGGCGCTGAGAGGTGGACGGGCCCCCGTGAAGTCTGCGTAGTGTAGTCACCCTGCCCCTCGCGGAGCTCTCTGAAGAATCATCCGCACCCCGGGGAGACTTTCTTTTTGGTTTGAGTGTGACCCGAAACTTAGTCGTCTTCTCCCCCCCAACGCTCACCTCAGCAGAAATGGAACAAGAAGATGCTTTAATTACTTGGATTACATTTTCTCTGCAGTTTAGTCAAATTATTCAACGGCTCTCAAAATGAACTTATTATCTACAGTTTTTAGTTGTAGAATATAAACTCATTTTGTCTTTGCGGACTGTTCAGCCAAGGTCACGAGTCAAACGAGAGGCACGTTTTAGGTTTCTATTGTCTGCCTGGTGGAACGAGTCTAAATAGATAAGTTGTGTTGTGTGTGCGTGTGTGTGTTTGGGTAGTTCTGTGTGTGTGTGTGTGGTCTCTGATCCCCTGCCCCCCACACCAGAACGCTGCAGCCAAGAGCCGGAGTAGGAAGGAGAATTAACAGAGGCAGCCAGGAATCCTGCGCGTAGCTTTTGTCGGGCTCCTCTTTTGAGTAACGACGGGTATAATGAGCAGGAAACAAGCTGAACATGAAGCTCGTACCCAAGAAGCTTGTCTGCAGCTCTATGAAGAGAAGACCTTGATGTCTCTTAGATCTTTCACCAGTGTGAATGGATCTTTTCTGTGCAGGTGATCATCTAAAGCCTGTGATGTTTTCTTTAGAACAAATGCAAACATTGAACATGTGCTTCGGCACTTTAGCTTTTTATTTTTTTATTTTTTATTATTCCTTTTTTTAAAGCCGCCCGAGCTTTGAGGGGGGAAAAAGGCTGCAGCAGGGTGTGGTCCATACATACCTTTGCCCTGGCCTCTTTTATCATTCAATCAGTTAACGTTCCCTTCAAACCGCAGCAGACGGCACGGCTTTGAAAGGGGGGAGGAAAAATCGGTGGGAAGTTTCGTGAATCTACTTGGACCGGCGCTCTGTGACGCCCGACGAAACGTGTCACTCGGCTGTTTATTGTCTGCGTGCGTGCGTGTGCGTGCGCGCGCGTGAGGGAGTGTGTGAGGGAGTGAGACTAGAGGGAGAAAGGGAGGAATTTCTCTCTGACTCCGTGATAAGATCGTTCCAGAGAACTCGCATAAGGGTTCTGAACAAAAACACACACAAAACGCATATAAACAAACATTCACCGATCACGCGATCGGCTGGAAGCGAGCGCGACGTTCTGCTTTTTTAACTACACAGTTAATGACACTTTTGCAAAATCGGATTTTGCCGGAGAACTTGCACGGTCTGACGACTCTTTGGTCGTTTAATAGTTGAACTGCTCCGTTGGTGGGAGGGATGTGTGACTTATTGAAGAACACCAACAGAAATCGGCCGACATGAACGCAGCGTGAGACAAACAACAGGACTCGCACGATCATGAAAACAACGTGAAAGCAGCCGCCGCCAGCCGAGAGAAATCGACATCTGTGGAACAATACTTACTAGTGCCAGTGTGCAGATCAGTCGCTCGCTCATTGTGACTCAGACCTCTTATTCGGGTCATGAAAATCTGCCTTAAAAGTCTATAAAATTACAAAAAGATTGTCGTTATTTTAAGCGGTAGAGACTTTTCGAAGGACAATGCCGGAAAGAGACGGCGGCGTCTCTCCGTCAGCTATTATGTCACACGATCTCACCGCGCCCCTCAGACATTGGTCCTCCCTTGTTGTCTTTGGGCTTTTGAACATGTGGAAACAAGTAAAGCAAATGGTACTTAGTGGACATTAGCGTGGCCTGGGCGCACTGAGGTAGGACAAGAGGACTTGCTCCGTCTCGGCCCCTGGGTAATCATATTTTGGTGGCTTGTTTGCTTAAGCGGAGCAAAGGTATCAGCCAAACATCCTGTCTCAAAGCCCTGTCTGCACTCGCTGCCGCATTAACCCCATGAATTGGCCCTTTGACTGATGGGGCACGGCCCAGGAATGTTGGGAAATTGGGAAGGTGAGGTGGGGGTGCGGGGGGGGTAGGGGGGGGTCTCGCAGTGAGGGGCGGCAGTAAGGGGGGGGGGGGGGTGTGAGGGGGCTCCGGCTCTGCAGGAGTGACACCCGATACGCGTTTGAACATATCGCCGTTAATAATACTTAAGCATCGCGGACCTGAGCCGACATTCCTGGAGGCTCGGGAGGCGGTCTTAAGAGATCGGGCCGTCATACGGGGGGGGGGGGGTTCAGAAAGCGCGAAGCTTTCCAGGTCGGCCCGGGTCGACGCAGTCGGACGCGGGTTTTCGCAAATCACCCCCGCCGAGGCTCGGACGAGGAAGATGTGCGTAATAAACGAGATACCTTACCAGGCGTAAACTCGTTTTACTATCGCGTCAGCGGGGAGGTGTAGGAAGAGCGCGCGAGGTATCACCCATATCGGGACGGGTCCTCTCGGTGACCCCGGAGCCTCGGCCTCTCTGCTGGCATGCCTTCTTATGCCTGACTGAGACACATTAGACTGTGGAATTCAACATCAAGTGCCGGCCCATTTGCCATTTCCTCAAGTATTTTCCACCACGGCTCCTTTTCAACGTACACGCCGGCTACGCGGCGCGCAATCCACCCAGGGCTCCTTTGCGTTGGGTCGGTTCAGTGCCTTTTGTTGGTTTTCAGGATTCTTTTGGGACTTTTTAGGGGTTTAGAGGGTCACTAGAACCCTGTCTCCTAGATGTTGAACCGCGAGGAACGTATTTGTCATAATAACCCTTCACAGTGATCGTCAGGCAAAGGAACCGGATTTTAAGGAAAGATCGCAGTCTTCAGTGATTTGAATAACAAATCACACGGGCCGCCATCTTTCTTTAACCTTAACCTAAAGCGTGCAGCTTAACGAACAAGACGCAAGTTTTTTTTCGCTCAGTTTGTAATCGTCACAGGTAGAAATAGGCTGTAAAACCTTCTCCGCCCGGGCATTGATGCTGCAACTCCTGCCAGCGAAGACGTATATAAAACACGTTTGTTGGGCGGATACGTAGAAACAGTCGCCATGCTCGACTCTGAATGACTTTGCTCCAAAGACTTGAGGGAGGGATATCGGATGACATCGCGGTTCGCCCAATACGGAACTAAAAGAAAGACGCCAAAGCGCAAATGGTTTTATTTAATTTCCTATTTCTTAACATTTTATTTGTCAGGAATTCTTTGATCTTGGCTCTGCTTCCGTTCCCTCTTGGTAGACGCAAAACTGCTTTACGCATCTGTGCGAGTGGCATCGGTTAACCTTTGACCTATTGGAGTTTGTGGACTTAGAAAGTGTTACACGTCAGAAAAAAACCCACCAAGTATCAAGAATAGACTTTATCCCCAAATCACAATAATGTTCCACCGACGTTGCCTCCTTCTTTTTCCAATGCCCTCTTCTGTTGTCCCTCTTCCTCCTCCCGACGTGTCTCCTGTCCCTCTTTGGTCTGATAAGTGTTCATTTCTTAGCCTCTTCAGTTTGTTGTCCACATATTTTGCTCTCGTTCTCTCCGTCTTTGTGAGTCTTATTCTCGCCCCCTCGCTTTCGGTCCATGTTGTCAAGCCATCACAATTTAAAATAAGGTTTAAATTACAGGACTGGCTGTGGCTTTCCGTTGTTCCCTCAGAGTTTTTGCCAACCCGCAATTTGGCTTTTAATGGAATCCTGCCATGCGGCTGAACCTAAAGATTCTTTGCAGATGTGGACAGGCTCTCTGACTCTGTGAAATGTAGGAAACTGTCGCCTGCGCTGGAAGCGCTCAGTGTAACGCCGAGTTAAGACCAACGCGACATGCGTGGGTTTGTGTGTGTGTGTGTGTGTGTGTGTGTCATTCACCCGTGACACTCACAGTAGCCTTGTGTAGTTAAGCTCCAGAATCCGACTTTGATGAGGAATGTGTGTATATATATATATATATAGTTACATATTCTATAGTTACGTAAGTATACGTCCGTATGTATATATATATATATATATATATATATATATATACATATGACACATTTTAATGCCACTTATTTTGCTCCATATTCCTGGAAACAAAAGCATTTCATGGGTCAACCTGTCGATGTTTCTTGGTGACGGATAAAATGAGGATCTGGCACGTGACTGCAGTCCCCCTCAGCTGCACGCTGTCCAGCACCCCGTTGTTTTGTTTTTTTCAATCTCTGATGTAGTAAATAACTAATAAAGTTAGCAACTCGCTAACAAGGCTAAAAAGCTAGAAATGTCTGGATTGTGGGTGATTTGGGGATGAG